AGTCAGATTTAAGTTAAGACAGCGACCAATGTTAATAAATCCACTTTTGTCAATATTAAGTGGCATATTCCACGAAATAGTCCATTCGTACAACTTGTTTATTTCCTCTTGGATTACCGCTGAAATATAGCTTTCTTTCGTGGGAGAAGAGAATGAATAAACTACTTTCAGGTCATCAGCAAAAAGGAAAGGCTTACCATACTGAAAGAGGGAACACACATCATTGATAAAAAGGAGAAATAGTAATGGACCAACCACACTTCCTTGTATAACCCCACTGGTTACATTCACAGGTTTAGAGTAGCAAGATCCAAAGCGAACGATTTGGCTACGTTCTTCTAAAAAAGATTTGAGCCAAGATAAAAGGGGATTCTGTATGCCAAATGAAGAGAGTTTTAAAAGAAGAAGTTTGTGTGAGACACTGTCGAAAGCCTTACTAAAATCGAAGTAAAGAACTATCACTGACTGACCAACATCTCTTCTCTGGGTAATTTGATCAAAAAACTCCAGGTGCGATGTGAAACATGAGCGTTTAGTCATAAACCCGTGTTGGGATGGGCTGATCAGACTAGCCGAAAGTAAAAATGATAGTAGCTGTTTGTGGATGATTTTTTCCATGGTTCTTGAGAGCACGGATGTCAAATTAATTGGCCTATAGTTAATATCACTACGTGGTCCTGTTTTGAATCTAGGGGTGATAAGGGATGTTTTCCATACAGATGGATAGGTCCCATATTCCATAGATAGATTGAAAAGTTTCAAACAAAATAGTGGAAATTCTCTACTTCCATATTTCACAAATGATGAAGGTATCCCGTCAGGTCCACCATCATAAGACTTTTTCAGAGCAGCTATGACCTGCCTGATGTTGGAGGGTGTAAAATCAATCATTGATAGATGTCTGGATGTCAGCATTGGAAATGTAATGATAGAGCTTTCAGTTCCAGTTTTGTTGCACTGCGAGAAGTGCTTGCTGAATTGTTCTCATAAATTCGGGTCGTTAACAATGCTTCCATTAAATATGAAGAATTTAGTCGTGCCTAGGGAATTTGACTTTACACGGGATAATTCTGGGCTTTGACTACATAGGACTTTATTTTCTATATTCATAAAATATTTACGTTTAGATGAAGCATTTCTGTCGATTAATTTAAGTATACTCTGAAGTGCACCCAACTGCGTCACAAGACAAGCCCTCACATGGAGTATCCAAGGCCAAAGGAGGAGAGGAAGACCAATGAACACATTACTTTGAAAAATGGAGACAGACATGAGAAGAGTGAACAAAATTTGGATAGACCTGGAAAGGAAGACCCAGGTCAGAGTGGGTTGGAGACTGCTGATCGGCGACCTATGCTCCAATCGGAGCAGCAGGCGTAAGTAAGTAAATAAAAGAGGAATCACTATTAAGCAAATGCAAGTTCGATTGACACTGAGATTGTATTTCATCATGACGATCGAGCAAATTATTAGAATTTTTAATCGACTGGATATCAAGTTTATTCACTGATTTGTAGTTGATACACGCCAGTTCTAGCATTCTTAACATCTCTCTTTCTAAACCTGGTATGCTAATTCAGCTGCACATGAAGTTGACCACCAAACTTGCATTTGGCAGCTAGTCTTTGCGATTCGAAGATGCATTCCCTAACCTTCTGGTAATTTTGATGAATCGTTATATAAAATTTCACTCTCTCATGACATTCAGGACTGGTTCACTTTGCATGATTTAATAAAAGGTTTCTTAAGAGTTGCAAAAGGAATTGATATCGACTTTTCTGGAAATGCCAAAGTTTTTAATGAACCGTAGGTTTCTTTTCCGATGAATGTATGGAGATGAGCCGCAATTTTATCACCCTTCACATTTTCATTGGTAATGCTCCAGATATGAACTGAAGTTTTGGTTATGTTTAGGAGTTTTTAGAGGATGGTTGAAATAAACTTAATTTGTAGACAGTTTTCATCATTGGTTTTAATTTTTATGCCATTCAATGTACACAGGCGATATATAAGCTAAGGAATTTTGTTTAAATTGACTTATATCATTCCTGTTCATAATGCGTTTAATATAATGACTAGTGTTAACTAAATGCACGTGTAAACATACACAACTCGTCCTTATTTTGTTGAGTACCATTTTCTCACTGCTGACTTACATCTATATTGTACACATTTGAGCTCATGTTACACAGCATATTCCTTGTCAATTACGTGCCAACACTTGTAGTCTATGTTTGACGTTCGTTGCAATTATTTTTTCTATACTATCATTATTGTAAATATATATGTATATATATATGGTTATGAACACACAACCTCTTGAAAATAACATGTGACTTCATATTTTGGAGATGTTTGTTCTTGTTTTATTACCTGACTTTTAATAAGCGTTCTATAGTTCTAAGTGAGTTGAGATATTTCCATATTTTTGGTGGTCCTCCATAAGCCTACTGACATGAAAAGTGAGCAACGATGGACTTATTAGTAATACCTAACGTACTTCACTAAATGCAGGTTTCAAGTGGAAATTTCAGAGTTGATTTGTACTTTCTGCAAACTTTCAATGCGCCAGAACGAATATCTGCTGATTACTTAGTTTTCTAGCTTCCTTGAGCCCCATTGTCGGATGATTTGCTGTGGTTAATGTACAATTTGTCTACCAACTGTCTATTATTCAAGGGCTCTATCCAACTCTCCCCAAGCCCTAGAACAGTTAACGTACAGTACTTTTGTGCTGTTTGTCGTTTTCAGGGAGATCAAGATTATTTATACCGTGGTTTCTCAACTGATTTCTGCGAGCACACTCATTATGCTAATTAGCATATAAGTTTAATGATTCTATTTCTGCCTATTTTTGCAGTCAGAAATGACTTGTTATCTCTTCATTCCACCGGCAAAACACGATGTCTAAGTGATCTTCTAAATAGTATGGTGAACGAGAGAAGTTATGTGAGTCATAGATTGCATGAGAAAAGGAGTTTTAAGTTAGTTCAATTCTATTGAATTTGTCGGTTGTAAAAAATTTAAATAGTTCAGAGCTCCGCATATATTTACGTAAAAAATCAGCAATTTATTGTGTGACACCGATGCAGGAGCTAGTTCTTTGTGAAGAAGGGGCTCATCAGTTAAAAACTCATACGGTAGTTGGCCACGGACTCTGGTTTGTTCTGACTTTCTTAAAAGTGATATGCGTTAATCTATCCTATTAATGTAAAGATCCCGTGGAAAGTTTAATCCCTTACGCTCAGTGAAAAAGTGCTCCGAATGTTTCATATCAGCTTCTGAGAGCTTAGTTGGACGTTGAGGATGAAACAAGTTGTTTGTGGTAATTAACCCTTTTCAAAAAGTCTACTGGGAGCATGTGATGGTTGGAAGTATTCGAATCATTCCCGAAATAGTGCAATTTGAGTCAGGTAGAGATGAGTGATCCCAAATGAACGAATTATAAGTGGAATTCGTAATAAGCGCACAATCGACTACAAAAGGAATCGTCAGTTCATACAAACACAACAGTATCTCACCTGGAGCTAATGAAGTAGCCTTTCAATTGTAGAATTGCAAGAACTACGCAAAACTGGATGGGGAACTTCCTCAGTGATAAAAAACAGAGTGTATGGATAAATAGAACACTAGATCAGAAACCAGCTAAAAACAATCATTGAATAAACTCAAAGAAGGACTCCATTTTTCTCATCGAGTGGTAAACAACTTGAAGGCACTTTTTAAACAGGTAGTATCAAACTCACTAGGGAACGCTTTTGAGGAGAAACTGGATGTCCACTGGAAATTATACTTAACTGAATGGTACAGGTCAACCGACCTACTTCCTTATTAAAGAAGACTCAAGGTGAAAGTGTAATAACAGATGGACCATAGGGTTCGGGTGCGCGAGATAACTTAGTCACTGCATGATTTAGTTTTGACAGAAGAGTGTGAAAATTTAGTCAATTCTATCTATTAGTTTAACTCCGTTAAATTAGGACTATTAGTCCAAAACATTTTAAAGTTAATTTAATTATTTTTTTAATAGTTCAGATCACGAGTCAGTTGAAGCCAGACCACCATGGTAAACCCGAAAGTACCAGACGGCTACTTCGTCCTACTGTTAGACTCCTCAGTACTACTCATCCACGATCCCGCCTCGCGAGATTTGAACCCAGGATCTACCAGTCTCGCGCACGAGCGCTTTAATTAGTGTTATCCCAAACCAACCATCTACCAAAAAGGTCCATTTTTATAGAGTAATCGTTTATTTTTGATAAATGTCTACTGTTTTTGTTCGCCATAGTAGGACTTGTGAATATCTGTTTGATTGCTCGCGCCATCCTAACGGCCTCCGGAGTCCCTTGTGTCTTTTTAAGTTCCTGATGATTAACAATAGATGACCTCATTTATGGTGTTGCCAGACTTCCAAGATTAATCGATGTACAGCGATCATGACATCTTCTACACTTGAAATGATTGTTTTCTGGGACACCACATTTGTTAAGAAGAAGCTCTGGTTGAAATTTAAGTATCTATACAGACTATTTTACACAGTTTTATTAAACAGCATACTTTGCACATCAATAGTTGCAGTGTCTTTCAACACTGTAAGAGCAGCAGGGTTTGGTTCACCGAATGTTTCGAAGTACCGCTTGTTCCAATAATTACTCTGGATGCCGTCTCGGACTTTGAAATAACAGTTCATCCTAAGGCAAATGTGATTTATTCAGAGCGTCAGTAGAAAAATAATTGTAAAGTAACACACCTTCACTGTAATGACTACAGTTAAATTATATTGGATAATATTTGACTGCTTGATTTACAGAAGCTGAGTGGACAATGTTTTAGAAAAATATCATGCACTGAAGACCATCAACCGTTTTATTTGGTGTTTGAATAAGTGATATGGATGTTTAAAATAAATTGAAATAGACGAAAACTTTTGTTCAAGCGGTTGAAAGAATCTTCGAAATGTTTCATCGCATGGCGACACCATTGTTTGTTCGTGTTCCCGTCACAAACATTGGTGGTAAGCGGCTAGCGAAAATAAAGGTGTTGGGGCGGTATGTTTTTTCTATTGGTGTTATGGTTACAGTTTTTATGAACAAGGTAGTCTCTAATATTTTCGTTATAGCTTGTTTTTCGGATTTCTTCTCCGTTTTATGGAGAATATATCCACTTCGAGCTGCATAGCGTTTCCGTAGGTATGCCCCAAGCAATCAATAAAGGGGAGATAATGGGGAAACGCGCTTAAATGTCTACTTTTTTCACCTGTCAGTGGGAAACAATGCGGATTTGCCCCTTTATGCCGCTTTGCGTCTTGGATGTCGCTGGATTGTCTAATCTTCGCCTAAATACACACCGAGTTGTCTACCTTTCGATTAAATACACACAGATTTATCTAATTTCGCTTCAATTTTTAACACACGTTTGGCCTGACCCCAAAGATCTGTGTTTGCTTTCATTTCCATAACGAACCACACGACAACTGCAATCGACATCAAAAATGGTACATGTTGATAGAAATTTATTGAAAAGAGAAAATGCCAAATTGTACAACATTATGAATAGTCAACAGATGCTAGAGCGTCAGTCGTTATGTATTTTAATTGTAATTGTTAAGTTATTGTAATTTGAAAAGATCTACAAAAGAAAGAACAAGTTGTGTGTTATTTATTGAGCACATATACTTAATAATAAGTGTGCAAAAGACCAGTAGGGCTGATAGATTAAACCGAAGGGGAGGCGGGGTTATTCTGTACACGAAAAGTACTCTTACCATAAGATTAGCTGAGACAGTGGCACATGTTTCAGGGACATGTGAACTGGTGAGATGTAAGTTGAAATGCCGAAGGCAAGATATTGAAGTAGTTGTAGTATATCGCAGTCCAGAATGTGTGGCAGATGATTTTCTCCTAAGTAAACTTAAGTCCTGGTGTAACAACGGTAAAAGCCTTGTAGTAGGCGACTTTAATGCACCATATATAAACTGGGTTAACTTAGAAGTAGGGTCATTGATATCGTCGTTCGACTGCAAACTGTTAGAAACCTCGATTGGACTAGCATTATTCCAACACATTCGAGATCCCACAAGATACGACTTAAGCAACTCTTCTCTTTTAGATTTAGTCTTCACACACGGTGATGACGTTGGTCAAATGGCTTTTCTCCTACCACTTGGGAAAAGTGACCATGCAGTCATCTTATTCAAATTCATGGCCGAGATTGCTTGTCAAACAGTTGCGCCTGCCCGTCCTAACATATGGAAGGCAGATATGCAGGCAATTAACTCCGCAGCATCGGCTGAGAACTGGGAAATTGACTCAAAGGCATCAGTACAAGAGGCATGGACTCTATTCAGACAGTTATACAATCGGGTAACTCAACCATACATACACTGAACTGTCCCAAAGAAAAAGAAGCACGGACATCCCTGGATAGGGCGGGATATTCGACGCTTACTAAGACAAAAGAAGAAATGCTGGGATGTTGCCATCCGCCTTGGCACAGCAGGTACGATGGAACGCTACAGATCGATAAGAAACGAGTGTACAACTGAAATTCGGGAAGCTCAAAGAAAATATGAAATGCAGCTGGCGCAATCTGCACTCAAGCAGCCCAAGAGGATATTCTCGTACAAAAACTACAGAACAAGGATGCATCATTGGATTCCTAACCTAATTAAAGTAGGAAGTGAATCTAAAATGATGGAGGAAGATCAGGAAAAAGCAGAGGCTATGGCTGACTATTTTGGGGCAGTTTTCACTCAGGAACCTCCTATAGAGAAAGAACCAGACCCAAATACAGAGTCAACAAACCAGCTGCTCATCGTGGACTTTGACCAAAACGATATGCTTAAGGCTCTTAGCACCCTAAACATGGAGAAGTCAACAGGACCAGATGAACTACACCCTAAAATCTTGAGACATATTGCCCAATATATCGCAGCCCCAGTCAGTCAGTCAGTCAGTAACAACGTAGAACTTCGTACGTACGTACATCAGTTCGAGTTGCCACACCACATTAGCACAGAGATGCAGTGGTCGATTCAAATCCCGTAGTGGTAAAGGTAGCAAGAGTATAAGCAGTAATCGGGAAGATTAGGGTTTGGAGATGTTATTTAAAGAGTATAATCCGGTGAAAGAAATTTGGGAAGAGGGAAAAAGGGACATGAAGAATTCAGAAGATTAGAGTTTGGGAGAACACAGAGAGTGGATGCACCTGCGCCATTGCGAACGATTTTGAGCCATGTCATTCAGGGTCTCTAACCATCGGTTGCTGTCATCTCGCGGTCCCCAACCAGGTAGTCTACACCTACCAACATGACTCAGTTCACTTGTCAGTGACTTCATGGACTTGTGCCATGTTTTGGTCTGGCCGCCCCTAGCTTTCTTCCAACCTACTCCTATACCACTGAACATAGCACGTCGAGGCAGTCGGTCGTTGGGCATACGTAACACGTGTCCCAGCCATCTCAACTGATGAAGTTTCACTACTTCATCAATTGATTTGACATCCTTACCTAGTACCCGTTTCCTGACAACTGTGTTACTTACTCGATGGTCCCAGGATATACGAGCAATGTTTCGAAGACACCTATGATCGAATACTAGTAACCTACGGATATCCTCTACTCTTACCGGCCATGTTTCACTGCCATAAAGTAGGACGGAACGAACTGCTGCGCAGTAAACACGTCCTTTGGTTGATAGACGGATATCTCGCCTACGCCATAAATGACGCAAGTTGGCAAAAGCTAGTCGAGCCTTCTGTATCCGTGCTGAGATTTCGTCACACACCAAACCACAAGGGCTGATGAGACTTCCAAGATAAGTGAAGCGGTCGACACACTCAACTACTTCACTCCCTATCACTAGTTCGGGTGTCGATGTAACCCAATCCTGAAGCAACATTTTACATTTCGAGGGAGAGAATCGCATCCCGAACATGCTTGCATTGTTGCTTAGAGTGGTCAGAAGACTCTGCATTTTTTCAGCGTCTTCACCAAATAAAACTATGTCATCTGCATATTCTAAGTCAACAAGTGAACCTCCCGGTAGAAGTTCAACCCCTGGAAATTTAGATGAGGAGAGTGTTATCTCTAAAAGTACGTCAATGACAAAGTTGAACAAGAATGGGGAGAGTGGACAGCCCTGACGAACACCACTTGAGGTGATCAATTCTGATGACAGTTCGCCATAAGCTCTCACTCTACCAGTTGTGTTCGAGTAGAGAGCCTTTATAAGGTTAATGTACTTCTTTGGTACTCCTTTCAGTGACAAACACTGCCATAGAACCTCACGATCAACGGAGTCGAATGCCGCCTTAAGGTCGAGAAATACTACCATTGTGGGGCGTCTGAATGTGTGTCTCTGTTCTAGAACCTGACGTAGTGTGAATATCTGATCTATACAACCACGTCCAGGTCGAAAACCAGCCTGGTTTTCTCTAGTCTGTTCTTCACGAGCTTTAGTTAGGCGTCGAAGTATTATTGAGGCCAATATTTTAGACACTATATTGGTCAAACTGATTCCTCTGTGATTGTCACAAGAGGACTTTTGTCCTTTCTTAAAAACTGGCACAATCAGTGATTGAGACCAGTCAGATGGGATTACGTCCAGTTCCCAAATTCTACCTAAGACCTCAGTTAATCTTGCTGCTAATACTGGACCACCATCCTTAAAAATCTCAGGAGTAAACATGTCAGGGCCTGCTGCTCTCCCTCGTTTCAGATTTCTTATGGCTTTTTCAACTTCGTAAAGGGACGGAGGACTTACATTAACTTGCCATTCAGGTTGACTGGAGATCGTGGGAAACCGAAGTGTGGCTGAAGGCCAGTTGAACTGATCCCTAAAGTGTTCTGCCCATCGATCCAATCTCCTGGATTGAGAATGAATAATATGTCCATCTTTCTCTGAGATTGTTTCGCTAACGGTCGGTTTCCTAATTCCGGTTTCCTTAACGAGTCTAAACAATTGTCTGCTATTACCTATTGCCGCTGCCTTTTCCATCTCTCTTGCTTTCGCTACCCACCACTGTTCACGATCATTGCGTAGACTTCTTGTCAGCTTGCGCTTAAGCTCACTCCGCTCTTCATTATGTTCAGAGCCAGGTGGAATGAGTTTTCGAGCATCTATCAGTGCGATAGATGCTGCTGAGATCCAGTGTTGCTCCCTAACTTTACGGTTTACCTTACTAGCAGATATCACTGCTGTTTCCACAGCTTTTCGGATATCGTTCCATGCTGCCTCGGGGTGGGCATCACATACATGGCTGCCTAACTCTTTTCCTAGTTGTTCCTGAAATATACTCTTAGCTTGACTATCATTAGGTAGGGCCCTAAGAGGTTTCCTTGCAGGATCTTTCCTACGTCCAGTAAGACGCAAGCAAATACGCGCTCGCACTAGAGCATGATCTGAATCTAGGCATGTGCTCCAGAATGAGCGACAGTCTTCTATCGAGCCCCTCCATCGGTGGCTGATAGCGATGTGATCTATTTGGGTCCAACGTTGGGACGAATTAGGGGGTCGCCATGTTAAAAGATGTTTTTCCTTATGCTTAAAGTTAGTATTTGCAAGGAACAGGCGGTTATCTGAACATAGCTGCAACAGACGGTCGCCATTATCTGTTCTTTGAGCCACGACACCATAGGATCCACCTAGGTGTCTTTCCTTATCGCTTAGTTTACCTACTTGAGCATTAAAGTCACCGGCCACTATTACTACATCCGAGCGCTTAGCTTTTCGGAGAAGGTCCGAAAGCTTTCTGTAAAACTCATCTTTTACATCATCTGAGCTGCAGTCAGTGGGAGAATAGGCAGAGACGACGAAGAGGCAACGACGAGTGTCCCTATCTTTCCGGATTCTTACTGTTCCGTTCAGTCGGACAGCGCACAAACGACTGTTTACTGGGATCCACTCTAAGAGAGCTAGTTCTGCCCTAGGACTCAATGCTATACCTACGCCGGCGAGGCCACGGGAAGCAGAATCAGGGCTTCCAGATACACGAAGCGTAAATCGAGTCGGTTGTTTATTTTGGCATGGTGAGGTCAAATGAATGACGCTACTCGGATCTTGTATGCGCGTTTCGGAGACGCAGCACACATCGATGGCGCGAGATTCTAAAGTCCTAGCTAAGGAAGCCTGTTGTCCTATTTGGCACAGTGTTCGTACGTTAAAAGCTCCTACGTGTAGTTTAGAGCGTGGTTTCAGGAGCCCAGGAATGGCGTTCCACGTACTCGAATCGTTTGCCCTAGCGGTGCGAGGTGATAAAGAGACGTGAGGAGGGTTAGTCGGGAGGATAAGAGAGGTATTAGGAGGTGTAGGAAGGATTTGAATGTGACCACCTTGGTCTCTTGTGCTGTTACGGGTATGAGGGCTGATGTCACTTCCCGGCTGCCCACACCGTGGAAGGGTATTTCTTGATGAACCTGAAAAGGAAATTGGATTAGTGTTGGTCTTGACGACCTGGGAGCGTGACCGCAGAGCCCAAGGGACAACTGCTTGAGGCCGGTCGCGCACGGCCTTTTTGTGGAAGGTTTTTGACGTGTTAGCTCCGTTCTTCAAGGGGCCTTACCGCCGGAGACGGAAATCCGTGAGGTAAGGTGAGGTGTGCATTTTTAGGGTCGACCTTTTCTAACCCCACCCCTCCTTGTGGGAAGGCAGCATCGCTGTCATGCTGGTTGTCCGAGGGAAACACCTTACTGCTGTCACACCTCTCTACAGTCAGCAGTACGACTTCGCCCTCAGACCTTGAGTTGCTGCTTTTAGTCTTACCGTTCGCCAATCGACCTGCCTGGCATGGTAGAACCTGCAGGAACATATGTTCCAGCCAATATAGCTCGGTTGGGTCATCACGATAGGCAAGCCCGACCACCGCGTCAAGGTAGCAGCTTCGATCGGGATATCGCAGCCCCACTGACTGTGATATTCAAAATGTTACTTGACCAAGGTGTGTTACCTATGGACTGGAAGGACGCAATCGTCACTCCCATACATAAAACAGGTCCACGACAAGTTCCATCGAATTACAGACCCGTAAGCCTCACAAGTGTTGTAATTAAAATACTGGAAAGAATAATCAAACGGACCATAACGGCATTTATGGGAACCAATAACTTGCTGAACATGGCACAACATGGTTTTAGAAAGGACCTATCCTGTACAACAAACCTCCTTGTAGCTAGGGAGTTCTGGATTAATGCGCTAGACAACGGGAACTCAGTGGATGTTGTCTACATAGACTTCAGTAAGGCTTTTGACAAGGTGCCAACTAATAGACTGCTATTGAAGTTGGCAAACCTTGGTATTGCCGGACCTCTTTTAAAATGGATTAAGGATTTCCTAGTAGGTCGTAGGCAAAAAGTAAGAATAAATTCCAAGTGCTCCATCTGGAGACCAGTACTTAGTGGAGTACCCCAAGGTTCCGTCCTAGGTCCTTTACTTTTTATAATGTACGTTGATGATCTTACAAGTATAGTAGTCTCCAATGTTAGAATACGCTGACGATGTAAAAATTTGGCGAGTAGTATTTATTTGAACACGAATATTGGTACAAGAGAGCGCCAATATATATGCGCCACACAAAACAATGAGAATTCGAAGAGAAATAGAAAAAAAAGCTAAGAAGCGCAAAAAAGGAGAACGATAACGAAGAGATTGGTGTAAGGTAGTGTGGTTGAAATGAGGGAACGGAAAGGTACAATCAGAAGAAATCTTTCAGGTAAGGGAGACACAACCACTTTTTATGAAGAAAGTAAAAGAATGTTACAGCAGGATCGCCACTGGCTTCTATTCTGAGCCATATCTGATAACGTCTCTAGCCACTGTGTAGCACCATCTCTCAGACCCCAACCAGGGAGTCGTGGAGAACCGACAGAAGCCAGTCCTTTACAGCTTTCTTTCATGCCACGACACCATGTCATGCACTGACCACCTCTCCGCTTCTTCCAACCAGTCCCAGAGTCGGCAAATAATGCACGACGTGGATTTCTCTGGGACAACATTCGGAGAACATGTCCAAGCCACCGAAGTCGGTGTTTCAAGATGGTGACACCAATTGAATTATCATCTCTGTGCCCGAACACACGATGCCGAGCCTCTGCATTACTGACATGGTGTTGCTACTGAATGTCAGCAATCCTTCGGAGACAGCGATCATCGAACACAGAGAGTCGTCTAACGTCCTCAACTCGGAGAGACCAGGTTTCACAAGCATAGAGCGAAACTGCTCTCACCGACACGTTGTAGATCCGGCCTTTTACAGCCAGACTAACATCACGAAGGCTCCAAAGATGGCCGAGATTGGCATAAGCCGCTCTGGCTTTCATTATACGTCCATTGATCTCATCACTCACGCCACCACCAGCACTTATGCAGCTACCTAGATACACGAACTTCTCGACTACTTCTATTTGCTCACTGCCCAGAGTGAGTGCAGGATCAGGGTCCTGGCAGTCTTGTAGAAGTACTTTGCACTTCGAAGGTGCAAAGCACATACCATACCTATGGACACTGATCGCCGACTGATTAAGTGCGGATTGCATGCCTTGGGCATTATCGCACAGTAAGACAATATCGTCCGCATACTCAAGGTCGATAAGTCTTTCTCCAGACAACAGATCCACACCACCATTACTTACATCCATCGGAGCTGTTTCCAGAATGTCATCGATGGCAAAGTTGAAGAGGAATGGTGAGATTGGGCAACCCTGCCTAACCCCACTGCTCGAATGAAACAATGGAGAGAGGTGGTTGTATGCCCTCACTTTGCCTGAGGTGTTTGTATATAGGGCTTTTGGGATGTTAATAAACTTCTCAGGCACACCCTTCTTCAATAGACAATCCCAGAGAACAGTCCTGTCCAACGAATCGAAGGCAGCCCTGATGTCAGGAAACACTACGATTGTTGGCCTTTGATAAGTGTTGGCGGTGTTCTAACATTTGGCGGAGGGTGACGATATGATCAATACATCCTCGACCAGAACGAGACCCAGCCTGCTCCTCGCGAGTCAATCTTTCTCGGGTTTTGAACAGTCTACGAAGCATGACGGAAGCCAATAGCTTGGACGCAATCGGAAGTAGACTTATCCCCCGATAGTTGTTACAGGAACGACGTGAACCGTTTTTAAAGATAGGGACAACTATCGACTCATTCCATGACGTTGGTACACTCTCTAGTTCCCAGACCTTTGTAAACAACGTCGTCAATTCCTTAGTCAAAAAGTCACCACCATCTTTAAAAAGAGCCGGAGGTAAGTCATCTGGGCCAGGTGATTTGTAACGCTTCAAGAGTTGGAGTTCCTTGCGGACTTCCGCCTCATTTGGTGGATCAGTCGTCACCGGCCATGGAGGGTAGGACAGTCTGACCGATGTTGCCGGAGCAGCAGGCCAGTTGAACTGCCCTTCGAAAAATTCTGCCCATCGTCCAAGACGTCGATGGATGTTAGTGATTGGCATCCCATCATCCTCGCAGATTGTTTCACTCATATCAGACTTCTTGCTGCCAGTGGCTCGGATGAGTTGGAAGAGCTTCCGGTAGTTACCAGATGCAGCTGCTGCTTCCAGCTCATTAGCACGCTTCGACCACCAGGCTTCTCGGTCCTTACGCAAGCTTTGCCCAATTTCATTACGTAACATCCTTCGTTTACGGTCAAACTCACGGTCACCCGGAGTAGACCGACGGGCTTCAATGAGTTGTAAGGAACCTGCAGAAACCCAGTGCTTATAAGCGGGACGTTTCGATGTAAAAATTTGGCGAGTAGTAACTAGAGACACACATTTACTCTTCAGGCAGACTTAAATAATATGACAAACTGGTCTAAAGAGTGGCTGATGCCTATCAACTCAGAAAATTGTGACTACAGGCACTTGGGGGATTCCAAGGGTAATACGTACAATATAGGGGATGTGTCATCACCCGTAGTCGGGTTTCATAAGGACCTAGGGGTGACAGTGAGTAATGATCACAAGACGACGGCCCATTGCCGGGAGATCGCAGTTAAGGGGTTTCGAACCCTCTGGGCTTTAAAAAGGACATCCACTAAGTTAGATACTACCATGTTCACCACAGTATACACATCCTTAGTGAGAACTAAGTTAGAGAACTGCGTTCAGGCTGCAAGCCCCTGTTTGAAAGGTGACTCAGACATACTAGAAAAAGTACAAAGGGCAGCTACGCATGCAATTTCGGAACTCCGGGGTTTATCATATAAAGAGCGGCTTGAAAAACTGGACCTCTTTACTCTGTCCTATCGCAGACTAAGGGGAGATCTAATATTGATGTACAGAATACTGAGAAATGATTTCGGACCTAACTTATTCTCTCTCTTTCTTCCCACTAGATCGGGACACCTCAGAGGACATAGCAGGCAAGTAGAAAAGCCAAGAACGAACAAAATACCCGTGGCAAACAGGTTTTCACACCGAGTCATCAATACTTGGAACCTGCTGCCTGAAGCAGTGGTGTCTGGACCTTCAATTGACTCTTTCAAGAGAAGACTGGACACTCACAGAAGCATACTAGAAAAGGAATAACATAGGCCGTAGGCCTTCTGTCCTTACTACACAAATCTGAAATCTGTATGACTGGGCAATCCCTGTTCTTGGTAGTCCACAAGTGCAACAGTATGCTCAAATGTATTCTCGCACTTAATCACAATGTAGTGTGGTGTATCAGGATGCATGTGAATTGTAGCTCGTATCCAGTGTCTGCTGGTGTAAAATTCACTGGTAGTTGTGGTCACTGTGGAATAATGGGAAGGTCACCCCCATAAATCGAGGTCTAGCATCCCCATGTGTTGAGTTGTAATATATTGCGACTGTATAGCCTCAAGTTCCTTAGACTTTCTTTGACATCATTAGCTGGGTCATCGTGGTCTGGGTTTTCTTGAGCTCGTTAATCAGTTATGCTCCACGGTTTGTCCGGCAGTATTCTCAAGTCACTCGAACTTGAGCGAATAACTGGGTAATAAAACGTCCCCCACATCATCGGCACTGGTAAACGTTATACGTGTTTGGAATTCTTGCTTCATGTAAGTCGTGTAGCCTTTAAGAGGTTTATTTCCTGTACGTTTAAGCCCCTGGTCCATTTCATTTAACAACATCCTGTCACTTTTATCATAAAGACTGGAGGAAAAATTTGGACGGTATATTGATCTCATGATGATAAGGGAGTTCACACAGTCCTAGGCCTGTTTCCAAAGATATTATCTACTTTAGGTTCAGAGAATTCTTGATTTGGCCACGACTATGGCCTGAAGTTCCACGACACTTGTCAGCCAATCGATTAATTAGATGTAGATTGGCTGGCTGGAGCATATTTTAGGTTTCTTTCAATACCTGGGCCTTTGTACCTTCTCAGCGCTAATCTTAAACTTTTTTTCACTCGGTTGACGGGAGTCCAGCCGATGTTCTCAGTAACCGTCCATGAAACCACTGTTGTCTTTTGGGAGACTATACTGGAAAGCATGATTTAGGTGGGTGAGTCTCATACTGTCAATGCTACTGTCCTGCTTCGGTTTGGGCACCCGAGGAGTATTCCAACCTTCACACAAATCGAATGATGAAGTGTGGCGCATATATATTTGGTACCCCCTTATATCAGTGTTTATGTGTTTAGATGAATAAACAATGCTGTTGTGTTATTAAGTTGTTACATTACTGCTCTTTTAATTTGATGCTCGACCAATTTTTGAATACTATTATTTATTTATTAGGGATAGTCTGTAATATGTTATCTCTAAAATATAAACTATGTGACGGTTTAATGCTACTGGGATAATTCATCATTATTATTAGATGAAGCATACTTAAGCTTCATTGGTTTAAGTTTCTCAGTAGCGGTTGATAGCTGCGAACTCCCAACCAGAGTTATAAAAAAGTAAGGCCGGTTTAGCTTCGGATGTGTCTAAAAATTGCTATATATATTACTCATTCGCTAATTATCCTAATTCAAGGTGGCACCATATTCCATGTGGTTGACAACTACTTTCTTAGTAATATTTTTTATTTTATTTGAACACATAAATATTGGTACAGGAGTGCTCCAAATATATATGCGCCACACAATTTCAGTTCATTAATTGCGTGTGGGCTGCGATACTGCACGGGTGCCTAGACCGAAGCAGGTGGTTTTCTTAGGGGGCCACACCCCTAGCCTTTGACCTAAAGGTCTAACCCACAAGGCAGTGCAGCATCGTAAGGAGATGCAGTCCCATGGTAGCCGGTGACCGAAAATTGGTTCATACGCCATTTGTTCCCGCAGGATACTGGTGCCCATGTGCACCATTGGTTTGGGATCCAGTTAAAGAGCCGGACATTCGCTTTTCGTCCTCTCATTTTCGTAAACAACACCCCCGCCACGATAAGGCAGTGAATAGAACTTCCCTGGCAGAGGCTGTATACGCGCGGCCGTGTGAGAGTATTTCGAGAGGGAGGGCAAACCCACCCCACTCTCGGCCATACCAGGGCATTTGGGGGCAGAAGTTGTCGATAGGGGGAACCCTGTTTGACATAGGTTCCTTTCTACTTAGCACTCGTCACCGAGATTTACCTATGATCTTGACGATGTCATATCGAGGTCTTCACATTTATGGTATTTGTCACTACTCTGATCAGCCAATTATACGTGTTTTCCGATTGTTCATGGTGTTTTAGTTCAGCATCACTTTTCATATTTCCATTGTATAATCAACTTGTAAATTTTTACATTTTTCCTTTCCCCCTTTATTAAGATTAACTGTTAATCCAAGGTGTTCATTTAAGATCGTAACAAAGAGAACATTTTTAAACGTAAAATGTCGCACATTCCGTCAATAGATTATTTCAACAATGCTATTTGGAATATTCAACCAGTCTTTGATAAACCGTCTTCACAAGATCCCTCTACATCACACTCTGAAAATTTCGTAGTCGTCCCGCAGAGCCCTCTAGATTCTTCTATCCGACTGATAAATTCTGTACGTATAATTTTTCTATACATTTTCTAAGAAATGTTTATGCATGGTATTTAGATGAGAGTTGGCTATGGTTAATGTCTTTTTAAAAATTTTCTTTATCGATACAAGTTTCAGTTTCAGTTTGGAAAGGACAGGAGGCTAGATGGCCTGTGTTAGTCCTGGCAATAATGATCTCAGTCGATCCAACTTTCTTATGAAAGAGTCGACAGATGGAGCTTTAACCACGTGTTGAAATAATGAATTCCACTCCTTAATGACTCGATGGGAAAGTCTATAGTCAACCGAAAAGTAATTTGTTCTGGGCTTGTAAACCTTTATGGAGTGTCCTCGTAGATTCTCTGTTTTGGAAGACCAAAAAATTTGGACATATCAGATGCAAATTTACCACTAATTAATTTGAAAACCGTAATCAAGTCACCTCTAGTTCTTCGATATGACAATGGGAATAGGTTAAGTTTAACCAGTCGAACATGGTGTGGGAGCTTCGCTATTCCGGGAATCAGCTTAGTTGCTGTTCTCTGAACCTTTTCCAAAACCTCACTGTCTTTTTAAGCAGAGGCTAGTCGCTTGTATGTAGTACTCAAGTTTAGGACGCATAAATACTGTATACAAAGTCAGAAACGTTTTAGCTTCGACATGGCTAAAGGCCCTACGTATTGACCATAGGGTTCTAAAACCTTTGGTGGTTGTTCCATGGCAGTGTGCAGTAGTTTTTAAGTCTTGGCTAACGATGACTACTAAGTCATTGTGTGTCAATTGGTAGGTGACAATAGGTAGCTCAATGTTACTTATCATGTATGTATTTATACCTTGATGACCAATATGCATTACAATACTTGGAAATATATATCGGCAACTGCCAAATTTGAGACCATTCAGATAATTTCTCCAGGTTGTTTTGAAGCTCTAAGCTATCACCTTTACTTTTTATCGCTCTCCATATCTTGACAGTATATAGCAAAATCGATGATGATAGATGTGAAAGATCATTTCCATACAAGACGAATAACACTGATCCCAAAACTGTATTCTGAGGTACTCCGCTAAGCACAGTCTCCCAGACAGACAACTTGGAGTTCACCCGTACTTTTTGTTGTCGCACAACTAGGAAGTCTTTTATCCACATTAATAGATTGCCCCCAACTCCGACATTTCTTAACGTATATAACAGCCGGTTGTGGGGAACTTTGTCGAAATTTTTACTGAAGTCGATGTAATCTACGTCTATAGGTAGATTTTGGTCTTTAAGAGCTGACCAGCTTTCACGAGCCACTAAGTTAGTGAGACAGGAATAACATATTCTAAAACCATGCTGCTTTTCCGAAAGGATCCGGTTTTCACAGAAATACTTAAACAGCTCCTACCGAATAATCTTTTCTAAAATTTTAACAACCACGGTAGTTAGGCTAACGGGTTGGTAGTTCTCAGGTTTATGTTTCGTACCTGTTTTGAAGACAGGACTTACTATGGCGTTCTTCCAGTCTTGGTAAATGACCCTGGGTTCGCAGCAAAGTTAACTAGTTCCTTTATTAACCTAGGATGCAGTTCATCAGGTCCCGGTGATTTGCCTATGTCAAGCTTATTTAGCAGACCAAAGACATCGAGTTCTTTAATGGTCACGTTGTCCAGTGTGTGCGGGGGATTTGTATGAACTGACGGAAAGGGTGTTCATGCGGTATATACATTGCTAAAGTAGTTTGAGGATAATTGAACTTTACCATAGTCGTCCTCCACTAATGATGAAACATTACTGTCACCCTATAGTGCTGGAATATTTCCTCTTCTTTTAGTCCTTTAGTTTATATACGAATATTGAAATTTTGTCTCATTAGTACCTAGTGATCTAAATCTTTTCCACATTCCTCTACTCTTATGGTGAAGAGTAAGACCTGGGAGCACTGCATATCAAATGTAAGTGAATCTAGTTACTCTATGTATTTTGGTGTATAAAAACTGTTGCTTTTATGCATGATTCAACATAATTTACTAGTTAATTAGAGACTGAGTGTCATGACTCAGGATCGTTTGCCATAGCTCTGGTCCGTGAACTTTTTGTCTCCCCTTAAAACCTGGGTTCTGAAATCCCTCTATCCCTGGCCTTATACTACCACTGACACTTACTACCTTTACTCCTTTGGATTCTGTCTTGAGATAATTTTATCTCACTGTATTAATATGGTATGGCAACTTGAACCAATGTACATATGTATGAGGTCTTACGTTGCATATGACTGGCTGAGCTTACTAGTTGAACAGTGTACTACACTACGAATAAACATTACGATAAAATATAGGAAATAAAAGCAATAAATTACTGAGAAATATTCTAAGCAAAATCTAAAGTGTATATTGAAATCACGAACCGATCAATGTTAGACCACCATCGAAAACCTGCAAGTACTGGATGGCCGTTTCATCCTAGTATGTATAATTTCTTTCTACATGATTTTGTCAGTAGTAACTGATAAGTTGTTCCCGGATAACTTAAGGTTGTCTTTATGAGGATGCGCTTGTAATACTTTTTGTATTGTATATTTTAGTTTATGAGTAATCGAAGTTATTAAATGTTCTTGTATCACAGGCTGTAAATCATATGCTTAAATTTTTAACATCACAGCTTTCCCACTACATAATTGCTGCTTAGGGATCTATTCGTTTGGTTTTTGTGCTTTTTAACAGGGCTGAAATCCTATTTTGAAATCTTACTTCTATGTACTTTTTTTGTTTGGAAATACTTCTTAGTTATGAAATAAATTGTTGGCTAAAATACCTGTAATTCAATAGTTGAGTCACATTTTCAAATCACACTCCATCTACTTCGATTTAGGCATTATGGTAGTGTCACTAGCCCTCAAAATTTGAGTGTGGTCTCGAAGCCAAACACAAACGTGTACTTCGTGAAATGAGTTTGATCAAATAAAATCAATTAGCTTGTTAGTTGCACCAAGTTTTTAGCAAGGTTAATTGTAAATTTAAATATTGCGAATATTTGATTTTTATACTATCTTTTTAAGGGAATTAATTCCCCAATAAATTATATCTTATATTACCTTTCGTTATGTCAACCATCTTTTGATTACTTCACATAAACATTTTCTTTTAAGTTTATTAGTTCGTCGTTTATCACTTGGTTATTTTTTAAACGCATTTTATCTAGGAATTCGAGATAATGGGTTATTCAAAAGTTTTAAGGGTGGAAAATGGAGAAATTCAAATCACTATGACTAGTTTTATTGATGGTGTGTTAAAGTTGATTACATCCTATCGTAAAAGTTTAAATAGTCGTGAAGAAATTGAATTAAAGTGAGTCGAATTTTATTCTTGTTATGTAGTTAGTTTTCAAAATTAGGTAAATATTTAGGTATGAGACGTTTTTTCAAAAATTCCATACAACCATATCCCTTGATAAATGTAAACAACAAGAAGAAGGTTTGTTAAATAAAATGAGTTCATTATATTTCATTTCTCATCGGCTGCATTCAACTTAAAATTATAATAACTAATCTAAATACAATTAATAAATGTTTAGCATACTTTAGTTTATGAAGTTTAAATAATTACTCAAAACGTAATGAAAATCATAATCAGAAGAATAAGGTTACAAAGTGTATGGATAAACCTAGTTAAGATTGATGTGTATTTATATGTTGATAAGTAATAATTATGTAAAGGCGATGAAATTAATGGGTGATTAGGTAATCACTCAACATGGTAAAATAAATATGTGAACACCAATCAGATTGTGTAAGAGATGAATATCAAAAAGACGTAAGAATAACAAGACGATAAAAAGGTTGGGAACAAGATTGAAAAAAAGGTTAAAATTAACAGGTTATTGGACAAATATCCAACCACCATGGCAGGAAATGGCTAGTTAAACTTTCCTTCTCTAAACCTAGGTCAGGTCGGGAACGTTTGATAGCGATTGTGTCTGAAAAACTGAATAAGACTGATGTTTTTCGTGTGTTGATTATTTTGAGTGCATCATTTACATTCACTTCATGTCCACTATCGAGATGTCTGGCAATTGGACTTGTAAAGACTTTATTTCCTTTCAGATATCCGTCTACCAAATAAAGGACGGGTTTATTGAGCAGCATTTCGTTCTGTCCTACTTTATGGCTGTGGAACATGGCCGGTAAGGGTAGAGGATATTCGTAGGTTACTAGTATTTGATCATAGGTGTCTTCGAAACATTGCTTGTATATCCTGGGACCATGGAGTAAGTAACGCGGTTGTTAGTAAACGGGTACTAGGTAAGGATGGAAAATCGATTGATGAAGTGGTGAAACTTCATCAGTTGAGACACGTGTTACGTATGCCTAACCACAGACTGCCCCCGACATGCTATGTTTTATGGTGTAGGAGTAGATTGGAAGAAAGCTAGGGGCGGCCAGACCAAAACATGGCACAAATCCATGAAGTCACTGACAAGTGAACTAAACCAGGTGTAGACTACCTGGTTGGGATCTGCAAGACGATAGCAACCGATTATTAGAGATCTTGAATGACATGACTCAAAATCGTTTGCAGTGGCGCAGGTACATCCAGTCTTTGTGTTCTCCCAAATCCTAATCTTCTGAATTCTTCATGTACCTTTAATTCTCTTTCCAAATTTATTTCACTAGATTATACTCCTTAAATAACATCTTCAAACCCTAATCTTTCCGATTACTGCTTATGCTTTTACTACCTTTACCACTATGGGATTTGAATCGAGAATTGTATCTGTGTGCTAATGTGGTATGGCAACTTGAACTGATATACGTACGTATGAAGTTCCACGTTGTTGCTGACTGACTGACCTTTGAATAATGGTATAGAAAACACCTGGTGTTGTATGGTGAAACCAGTTGAAGAGTAGGGAAGCTTCTTTCGCTCACTTTCTTGCTGTTTGAAAGATTTCAAATGACTATCGATAACTATTTTCATAATACATCATTAACACGACTAATGTCTTTCATGGCTCCATGTAACAGCGTAATCTTTTAATAGGAGTCTAGTAATAAATGGTGTGGAGTATTATTTATTTTATTGAACACATAAATATTGGTACAAGAGAGCGCCAATATATATGCGCCACACAAAACAATGAGAATTCGAAGAGAAAGAAAAAAAAGTAATAATGAGGGAACGGAAAGGTACAATCAGAAGAAATCTTTCAGGTAAGGGAGACACAACCACTTTTTATGAAGAAAGTAAAAGAATGTTACAGCAGGATCGCCACTGGCTTCTATTCTGAGCCATATCTGATAACGTCTCTAGCCACTGTGTAGCACCATCTCTCAGACCCCAACCAGGGAGTCGTGGAGAACCGACAGAAGCCAGTCCTTTACAGCTTTCTTTCATGCCACGACACCATGTCATGCACTGACCACCTCTCCGCTTCTTCCAACCAGTCCCAGAGTCGGCAAATAATGCACGACGTGGATTTCTCTGGGACAACATTCGGAGAACATGTCCAAGCCACCGAAGTCGGTGTTTCAAGATGGTGACACCAATTGAATTATCATCTCTGTGCCCGAACACACGATGCCGAGCCTCTGCATTACTGACATGGTGTTGCTACTGAATGTCAGCAATCCTTCGGAGACAGCGATCATCGAACACAGAGTCGTCTAACGTCCTCAACTCGGAGAGACCAGGTTTCACAAGCATAGAGCGAAACTGCTCTCACCGACACGTTGTAGATCCGGCCTTTTACAGCCAGACTAACATCACGAAGGCTCCAAAGATGGCCGAGATTGGCATAAGCCGCTCTGGCTTTCATTATACGTCCATTGATCTCATCACTCACGCCACCACCAGCACTTATGCAGCTACCTAGATACACGAACTTCTCGACTACTTCTATTTGCTCACTGCCCAGAGTGAGTGCAGGATCAGGGTCCTGGCAGTCTTGTAGAAGTACTTTGCACTTCGAAGGTGCAAAGCACATACCATACCTATGGACACTGATCGCCGACTGATTAAGTGCGGATTGCATGCCTTGGGCATTATCGCACAGTAAGACAATATCGTCCGCATACTCAAGGTCGATAAGTCTTTCTCCAGACAACAGATCCACACCACCATTACTTACATCCATCAGAGCTGTTTCCAGAATGTCATCGATGGCAAAGTTGAAGAGGAATGGTGAGATTGGGCAACCCTGCCTAACCCCACTGCTCGAATGAAACAATGGAGAGAGGTGGTTGTATGCCCTCACTTTGCCTGAGGTGTTTGTATATAGGGCTTTTGGGATGTTAATAAACTTCTCAGGCACACCCTTCTTCAATAGACAATCCCAGAGAACAGTCCTGTCCAACGAATCGAAGGCAGCCCTGATGTCAGGAAACACTACGATTGTTGGCCTTTGATAAGTGTTGGCGGTGTTCTAACATTTGGCGGAGGGTGACGATATGATCAATACATCCTCGACCAGAACGAGACCCAGCCTGCTCCTCGCGAGTCAATCTTTCTCGGGTTTTGAACAGTCTACGAAGCATGACGGAAGCCAATAGCTTGGACGCAATCGGAAGTAGACTTATCCCCCGATAGTTGTTACAGGAACGACGTGAACCGTTTTTAAAGATAGGGACAACTATCGACTCATTCCATGACGTTGGTACACTCTCTAGTTCCCAGACCTTTGTAAACAACGTCGTCAATTCCTTAGTCAAAAAGTCACCACCATCTTTAAAAAGAGCCGGAGGTAAGTCATCTGGGCCAGGTGATTTGTAACGCTTCAAGAGTTGGAGTTCCTTGCGGACTTCCGCCTCATTTGGTGGATCAGTCGTCACCGGCCATGGAGGGTAGGACAGTCTGACCGATGTTGCCGGAGCAGCAGGCCAGTTGAACTGCCCTTCGAAAAATTCTGCCCATCGTCCAAGACGTCGATGGATGTTAGTGATTGGCATCCCATCATCCTCGCAGATTGTTTCACTCATATCAGACTTCTTGCTGCCAGTGGCTCGGATGAGTTGGAAGAGCTTCCGGTAGTTACCAGATGCAGCTGCTGCTTCCAGCTCATTAGCACGCTTCGACCACCAGGCTTCTCGGTCCTTACGCAAGCTTTGCCCAATTTCATTACGTAACATCCTTCGTTTACGGTCAAACTCACGGTCACCCGGAGTAGACCGACGGGCTTCAATGAGTTGTAAGGAACCTGCAGAAACCCAGTGCTTATAAGCGGGATGTTTCGCGAACCCACAACTGACTGTACCCGCCATTTTCATGGCGTCATGCAATTGCAACCAATGCTCATCTATACTTTTTGGTGGAATGGTAGCTAGCCTAGAAACTAGCTCGGTTCGATACTTACTAGCAACAGAAGTTGCAACCAGCTAGCTAACATCAATCCGTTGGTGGCGGTCACTTCGTTGTCCACTGAAAAGTAAGGTAAGATTGGCGCAGACCAAAGCATGGTCAGAGTCCAGATAGGTACTCCAAAAGGAGCGGCAGTCTTGTACACAACCACGCCAGCGGTAGCTGATCGCGATGTGATCAATATGAGTCCAGGCTTGGGACGCAGAGGGAGGACGCCAGGTGGCACATCGGCGATGACTGTGCCGGAAGTTAGTGCTAGCCAGAAACAGGTTGTGGTCTGTGCACAGTTGCAGTAGACGGTCCCCGTTATCTGACTTGCGGTCAACAATTCCCCATCAGTCACCTAAGCGACTCTCTTCTGTGCCTAGACGCCCGACCTGAGCATTCAAGTCTCCAGCTAGTACTACCATATCTGTCGAACGCACTTTCTGTAAAAGAACTGTTAACTGATTGTAGAATTCATCGTTGATTGCGTCCAGGCTGCAATCTGTCGGAGCATAGGCGGCGATGACGATAGACCATTGTTTCTCACACTGATTTCTTCTTACTTTGATAGGACTTTATAATTTGACAGCACATAACCGACTGTTGATGGGGATCCAATCGATTAGTGCTGCCTCAGCTCTAGCACTTAGTGCGACACCAACGCCAGCAAGACCAGACGAAGATGCCACAGGGTCCCCGGATATACGCACCTAAAACAAGCTTTTTGAAGCGACAGATGGAGAGCGAATTTGTTGTACTTCACCAGTCTTGAATACGGGTCTCGGATAGACATCAAACGTCGATATTAATACTTTCCAAAGACATAGCCAGCCCTATCTGTTGTCCGACCTGCATAAGCGTGCGAACGCTGAAGGCAGCCAGTTCGAATGTTGCACGTGGTTTCAGAAAAACTGCTTCAGTATTCGTAATTGGTGGTAGCATACAATTTCCAATCAGACAGTGACTCGAGAGCGTTTAGATAGAACCGAGTTTCCACCATAGGCGAGCTGCTGTATAAGTCGAAAAATAAGGATACATAAAGTCGGAATAAAAGAGAGTGAATAAAGGACGTAAAAAAATAATAACAATAATAGTAGTAATAATAATAATGTGAATCGTTTGATTATTAAGCAAGACAAGTATTTTCCATAAATATCGACATTTCATTATATTTGTGTGTGGGCTTTGATACTGCACGGGTGCCTAGACCGAAGCAGGTGGTTTTTTAGGGGGCCACACCCCAAGCCTTTTACCTAGAGGTCTGACCCACAAGGCAGTGCAGCATCGTGAGGAGATGCTGTCCCATGGTAGCCAGTGACCAACGATTGGTTCATACGCCATTTGTTCCCTCAGGATACTGGAGCCCCTTTGCACCATTGGTTTGGGATTCGGTTAAAGAGCCGGACATTCGCTTTTCGTCCTCTCATTTTCGTAAACAACACCCCCGCCACGAGAAGGCAGTGAACAGGACTTCTCTGGCAGAGGCTGTATACACGTGGCCGTGTGAAATCGGTTCGAAAGAAAGGGCGGGCACACCTCACGAATTCGATCCCGTGCCACCCAGTTTCACAGTCGGAGACGTTACCACTGAGCTATCCGGGCCGAATTCTATTTGAAGATGATGGGTCATGATATTAAACCAAATGAGTTTACAAGGTAAATTTGTAGTCATTTTACTGAAGTGACTATAATTTTATTGTTTCGGATACTAAGACCTTTGTTTTCATCTTTGCATATATTGGTTTCATTGTTTGCATTAAGTTTTCACTATGAAAATATCTAAATTATTTTACTTACAAGTTAGACGTGTGACTGACAAGTCTATAACAGGATGAAACCTGCGTCCTAAATTCCACTGTTTACTACTCGTAAACTGTTACACAAACTTTTGACTTTATGGCAATATTGAGACAATCCTCTAATGATACATACATATCAGTAGAAAGTGACCAGTCTCAGTCGTTAAGGTCAGCGTCTGGGAAATACAAACACTTATAGATGAAATTCCATACCCATTGCACAACCTGGTGCTTATCTGAACCCCGTAAGTCAATACATAATGCGTTTGTGTTTGGAGAGATCGGTAATGTGTTCGACCTTCAGTGAGAACACCAACACTAGAGTCCAGCTACATTCAGTTTACAAGTTTCAAATTGGACGTTTTTAGTGTTACTTAGCATTTTTGTGGCTCGATATCCGACTCCCATTTGATCCTATGAATGTTATTGATTGTTATTGAAATATACATGTCGTCTATCCTCATATATAATTATCGACTTAAATCGCGTTAGTGATTAACGGAATGAAACAAGTTAAGTACGAAACTGAATTTCGAATACGTGTATTTCATACAATCGTTGATCCAGACAAACAAAGCGAAGACAAGAGAGCGAAGCGAAACGAAAGGGCGCGTTGTAGCATGTGAGCCAACTCGGTTTAGTCAAGTGTTACTTGATATTTATAGCCAGGCAGAAATAAGTCAAAGACATATATGTGATGAATAGGCTAAGAAGTGCATACGCTTACTCTCATATAAAAACAATCATGGTTGATAAGCGAATAATTGACAAGGTCAAAATGTGACCCAGGAAGAATGAATAAATTGGCCTGTCTAAAAGCTAGAATAAGCTATGTGGGGTTAGCATAGCAACCGACACTACAGCATCCTACTATGATGAAAAAAGAGTGTGCTTTATCACATTTTCGCTAGTTTGAAACTAGTTTCACACTTATTCTAAGAAAGTTGAACAGTATTTGTAGCCTCCATCTTGTAGTTGGGTTTAAACGCCCTTCACAAAATCATGTATTTGGTAAGAAAGTAGCATTAATTTAATCTTAATCTATTCGAAATATTCTTGAACAAAGTAAAACTTAAAATAGATTCCATTAGTGAGTTATCCTTACTAACTGAATTATTACTGTTCAGTCCCAAAGTCAAATAAATCACGGATGCCCTTACATGTAAATGTAGATAAACTTTTTTGATGTATCTGTAAACACTTTCCTAGTGTGCATATCAGGAATTTCATTAAATTTTTATGTTAATAGTATAAAAATTAAAATTAATTCATATACTTCTTGACTCAACAAAGATGATGGTGATACAAAGTCTTTGGATAATACAAATGTACAAAGGTTAGTTGGGTATACAAGTGATAGACCACGACAAACTGGTCGTAGAGTTATGTATCTCACAGTGGATTGTATGGATAATTTATCACAATTCCGTTTACAAGGTTGAGGTCTGGTAAAACGAAAGCAAATACATGTGCGCTGTATTTATTTATCATCTCAGTTATAAAAAACTTAGTAAATAAAGTACCTAAAACACTAAACCTTAATAGATAAGCGGAATAAAGCTAGTTACTGTTATGAAGTCATTAATTAACTCATCTGCATAAATTTTTTTTTACCTTAAAACTTAAGATTCGCTTGTTATAGTGAATTAAATAAGCCTGCGTTTAAAAATTATATTTATTTTAGGTTATGCTTTTTGTAAGTCATAACATACGTATTGTTAATTATTCAATATCTTTGTATGTTGTGATATTTTCAAATGATCCTGTATTTATTTCTAAATGTGAATCACAGTTATAAAAATTGTATTAGTGATACTACCTAATCTAAATGTAAACTGGACTTTTTTCACACTTTCTATCAGCACAACACTAAAAAACCAACAAGATGACAAACAAGTAAGTCGAAATAATAATGTCATTAAGAGTGGAGACCAAGCAGAGAATAAATGAAACCAGTTAGTGAAAAACATAAGCGGTGTTAACACTTTTAAAGGAATATAAAAAATGGATTCATTTCTGTGATCAATGTTAAGACGTCATTGAAGATCTATCTATCGCAGTCAGTTGATGGCTTCCAAAAACAAAGTTTATCGCCTCCCAACGCTTTTTAGATCCATAATTAGTGATTTTATACATTGATTTTATGACTTGGTATACAACCCATTAGTGTTTTTCAAATCTGCTATTATGCTATTCAGCATCAGACCCCAGAATAGCCGGTGATAGAGCGTGTGTGACGCATATCAGTGCCGTACCTCTAGTATCAGCCTTACACTGTAGCTCCACCATGCACAAGCAATGTTTCTATAACATTTATTATAGAATGCTAACAAATTCATGTCTTCTACTATCATTGGCTATTTATCCCTATCATAGAATAATACAAAGCAGATTACTTTACTGTATACTCTCCTTTTGATTAAAGAAAATAGACATCTGGCTATCTGCAAATGACATTCATTGATTTTATGAATAAAAATATAATTAATTATTTATATTCAATGCACCACTTTTGTATTTACATACTTTTTTTCGTTCGGTTTTTTATGTTTTGTAATTAGTTTTCATCGTGTACAGTCAGATTTAACTCAAGTACAAAAACTTTATCGAAGATGTCAGCAAAATTTGGAAGAAACACAAAGATCAAATGAATTAATCAAAGAAAGGGAAAAGCAAGCTTTAAATGATAAAAAGTTACTTAATGATCGTTTGAAATCTACATGTAATGAAGTAAGTTTTTGTGGATGAAAATTCTTTCTTGTAGTTACATTTTTAAATTGTTCTGAATGAATATCATAACATTGGATGTATCTGTAGTTTAAACATAATTTTTGTTTGGTGATTTTCAATTTAAATTGTCTAGAAATAGCTACTTCTCTGCGGCTACTCTTGTTACTTGGGAACAGATTAGTGTTGCTAGCTTTCGCACATGAAGTTTAGCTCGTAGTTAAGTATGCTGTTGTACCACTAAGTGCACTAGGACTTCATATTTTTCACTAACTATTTCCGCTTTGTTCAGTAATAGAAACATCCTTTATCTTTAAATCTTTTGTTTACTATTAGTGTTTAACTAAGAAATCATTCAGTTGTTTGAGCCGAACCCTAAGGAAATTAAACGAAACATCAACTTACAGGGTCATCTAGTGGATAAATGGTTTTCAAAGCCAATTTTATTTAGTTGGAAAAACCAGTAACAGGATGTTTTTTATAGTCTGATTCAAGTATAACCAAAAGGAGCTTGAATTTAACTGTTCATATTTGTCTGGCAAACCTGACAAGTTTACAGTTCACACAAAAACAAAGGGAATTTAAGTAATGAATATTGAATCAGAAAAAAAATTTGTATACGTACGGTATGATTTTCGTTGAATCGGATTTTTTTATCAGTATGATGACCGAACATCCGTAGTAAAGAACCATCATTTGTCGTTAATTAGAATGATAAGTTCTCCATTGGCCACCTTGTAACATGGTTTTATTATTGAAGGAATTTCAGTAAGTTGGTAGTAACAAACAGTCCCGAAATTTATGACTGGTTAATAATATATTGAAGGATACGAAAGTTATTATTATTTGAACATATAAATATTGGTATATAAAAGGCACCAAACTCTGACTGTAGCTCTTATAGGGTTACTGCCGGTCCCAAGCCCGGGTAAAGGAGGAGGGTTGGGCATGAGGTTAGCGTCCCCATCCCGTAGAAAACTAACTCGCTAAAAAAACGCTTACCAGAAAAAATAATCCAAACCATTTTAACTCTGCCCTGGGAGTTAGAAGGTCTTCATTTAGAAAAATTATGACGCTTCATGGTGAAAGCCGAGTTCCTTCGGAAGCCACGAGGCCGATGCCCCTTCTAACAACCAGAGCAACAAATTTTATATTTACATGGAACGTTCGAACAATGTGGAAAACCGGAAAGACCAGTCAAATAGCGATGGAAATGAGGAGATACAACTTAGCAGTACTGGGAATCAGCGAAACCCACTGGACCCAAGCTGGACAGAAAAGGCTAGCTACGGGAGAGATGCTGCTATACTCCAGTCACGAAGAGGAAAATGCTCCACACACTCATGGAGTCGCTCTTATGCTGTCCAAAGTAGCACGAAATGGACTTGTAGGATGGGAATCTCACAGATCCAGAATCATCAAAGCATCATTCAAAACAAAGAAGGAGGGGATCTTAATGAATATTATCCACTGTTATGTACACACCAATGATAGCAACGACGACATTAAAGATCAGTTCTACGACTGGCTGCAGTCAATCATTGAGAAATGCCCAAGAAAGGACCTAACTATTCTGATGGGAGATCTAAATGCCAAAGTCGGAATAGACAACACTGGATATGAAGATATCATGAGACGACATGGACTGGGCGAGAGAAACGAAAATGGAGAAAGATTTGCAAATCTATGTGCATTTAACAAATTGGTCGTAGGAGGCACAATATTTCCACACAAGCGTATAAACAAGGCTACATGGATCTCACCGGAACACACTACAGAGTACCAAATAGATCATATTTGCATCAACAAAAAATTCCGAAGGACAATGGAAGATGTGAGAACCAGGAGAGGAGCTGACGTAGCTTCAGATCATCACCTAGTTGTAGCCAATTTAAAACTGAAGCTAAAAAAGAACTGGACAAGTGGACAAACAGCACTACAAAGGTTCAATACAGCCTTCCTTCGAGATACTGACAAACTTAATGAATTCAAGATAGCTCTCAACAACAGGTTCCAAGCCTTACAAGATCTACTGAAAGAAGAAGAAACTAGTATGGAGGACAACTGGAAAGGCATCAAGAAAGCATTAACTTCAACGTGTCAAGAGGTTCTGGGTCTAAAGAAATACCATCATAAGGAATGGATCTCTACAGTAACGCTGGACAAGATCAAAGAAAGGAAGAACAAGAAGGCGGCAATTAACAACAGCCGAACACGAGCAGAGAAAGACCAAGCACAAGCTGAATACATAGAAGTAAACAAGTGAAGAGGAGCATTAGAGCCGACAAGAAGAAGTACGTGGAAAAACTAGCAACGACGGCAGAAAAAGCTGCTAGAGAAGGAAATATGAAACAGCTTCACGATACAACGAAGAAACTAGCAGGGAAATACAGTAAACCAGAGAGGCCGGTCAAAGACAAAGAAGGCAAGCCAATCACCGAAATTCAACAACAGCGTAACAGATGGGTAGAATACTTCGAGGAACTCCTGAATAGGCCGGCTCCAATAAATCCACCGGACTTCGAAGCAGCACACATAGATCTTCCTATAGATGTCAATCCAACAACGACGGAAGAAATCAGAATGGCCATCAGACAAATCAAGAGCGGGAAAGCAGCAAGACCCCACAATATACCAGCTGAAGCACTGAAGTCAGACATCGAAGTAACTACAAACATGCTTCACCTTCTATTCAAAAAGATTTGGGAGGAGGAACAAGTGCCGATGGACTGGAAAGAAGGACACCTCATCAAGATTCCAAAGAAAGGAGACCTGAGCAAATCTGAAAACTACAGAGGAATCACATTACTGTCAGTATTAGGAAAAGTCTTTAACAGAGTTTTGTTCAAAAGGATGAAAGATGCAGTAGACACCCAACTTCGAGATAAACAAACTGGATTCCGTAAGGATCGGTCGTGCACAGACCGAATTGCGACACTACGGATCATCGTCGAACAATCAATTGAGTGGAACTCGCCACTGTACATCACCTTCATTGATTATGAAAAGGCATTTGACATTGTGGATAGGAGAATGTTATGGAAACCTCTTCGACACTACGGAGTTCCTGAGAAGATTGTCAAAATTATCCGAAACTCATACGACGGACTACAATGCAAAGTCGTGCATGGAGGACAGCTGACAGATGCATTCCAAGTAAAGACCGGAGTCAGACAAAGCTGTCTACTCTCTCCCTTCCTCTTCCTTCTGGTGGTCGACTGGATTATGAGAACCTGGACATCTGAAGGGAAACACGGAATACAATGGGCAGCTCAAAATCAATTAGACGATTCGGACTTCGCAGATGACCTGGCCCTCCTATGGCATACACATGAACAAATGCAGATAAAGACAGCCAGTGTAGCAGCAGTCTGCCTCTGTAGACCTCAGCATACACAAAGGGAAAACCAAGGTCCTAAAATTCAACACAGAGAACAGCAACCCAATCCCTCTTGATGGTGAAACTCTGGAAGATGTAAATCCTTCGCATACCTGGGAAGCGTAATCGATGAACAAGGAGGATCAGATGCAGACGTAAAGGCGAGGATCGGCAAAGCAAGGGTCGCATTCCTACAATTGAAGAACATATGGAACTCAAAACAACTTTCAACCAATATCAAAGTGAGAATCTTCAATACGAACGTCAAGGCAGTTCTACTGTATGGAGCTGAAACTTGGAGAACTACAACAACCACAATCAAGAAAGTACAAGTATTTATAAATAGCTGTCTACGCAATATACTCTGTAGTTTCCACGTTTTCTGAGATCTTTCTTTGATATCTCGATGAGGTATTCTTCTTTCCGATCTCTCTGGACCTGTTCCTCTTCCCAAATCTTTCTGAATAGAACGTGAATCATGTTTGCAGTTACTTCCATGTCTTCTTGCCAGCTCTTAATTTGTCGCATGGCCATCCTGAAGGTCTGTAGGTGCTGCTTCTATGTCTGGTGGATTCAGTGTGGTTGGTCCATTTACGAGTTCCTCAAACTATTCTGCCCATTTGTTTCTTTGTTCTTGAATCTCATGATTGACTTACCTTCTTTGTCCTTGAACGGTGTCTCTGATTTACTATATTCCCCTGCTAATTTCTTCGCTATGTTATATGGTTGTTTCATATTTCCTTCATTTGCAGCTTTTTTTACTGTCACTGCCAAGGCTTCCATGTATTTCTGCTTGTCAGCTCTGATGCTGTTGCTTGTTTGCTTCAATGTATTCAGTTTGTGTCTCGACTTTCTTTGCTCTTTTTCGGCTGTTGTTAATCACTGTCTTCTTGTTCTTCCTATCTCGAATCTTGTGCAGGGTTTTGACAGAGATCCATTCCTTATGATGATGTTTCTTGTTACTCCTGACACTGAAGTTAGTGTTTTTTTGATCCCTTTCCAGTTGTCTTCCATAGTAGTTTCTTCTTTCAGTAGATATTGTAAGGCTTGGAACCTGTTATAGAGAGTTATCTTAAATTCATTGAGTTTGTCAGCATGTCGAAGGAAAGCTTTATTGAGTCTTTGTGCTGCTGTTTGTCCAGTTGTCCATTGCTTCTTTAGCTTCAGTTTCAACTTGGCAACCACCAGGTGGTGATCTGAGGCTATGTCAGCTGCTCTCCTGATTCTCACGTCTTCTATTGTCCTTCTGAATTTTTGGTTGATGCAAATGTGATCTATTTGCGTCTCTGTTAGATGATACGGAGGAACCCATGTAGCTTCGTGCATGTGTTTGTGGGGGAATATTGTGCCACCTACAACCATTTTGTTGAATGTCCATAAATTGGCGAATTCCTCGCCATTCTCGTTTCTCTCTCCCTGTCCTGAGCACTTCGCTATGATTGGTTGCAGCCTCTCATAGAACTGATCTTTGTCGTCGTCGTTACTATCATCGGTGTGTATAACACTGAATTCACGAGATTCTCGCCCAAAAAGTGCTTTTCTTGCTTTTAATAGCATCAGTGCAACTCGTGCGTGCAAAGCATTTTCTTCTTCGTGATCAGAGTATAGCAGCATCTCTCTCGAATCTATCTTTTTCTGACCAGCTTGGGTCTAATGGGTTTTGCTGATTCCGAAAACCGCCAAGTTGTATCGCCTCATTTCGGTAGCTATTTGACTGGTCCTTCCGGTCTCCCACATTTTCCATACCTATATAAATTGTAGCTCTGGTTGTTATAAGAACCATCAGCCTCGTGACTTCCGAAAAATTTCGGCTTTCATAATAAGGCGTCATAATTCTTCCTTCAACTTCCATGTTTGAGTTTAAATGGCTTAATTTGTTCGATCTGGTTAGTGTTTTTAGTAAAATTGTTTTCTACGGGATGAGTTTGCCGACCCCATTCCCAACTCTCCTTTACCCGGGCTTGGGACCGGCAGTAACTCTAGAAGAGCTACAGGCGGATCATATATATTGACAACAACGACTGATATAAATGCTTTTGTAATTTCCTCTAGATATTCCTAAGATTATATTGAATTCCAGTAAGTTGCCTGTTACTTCTTTGTTTATAGCTTCGTAAAGTTCAGTCAAATTTCCAACGACATGAAATCCAATTTCTACACGAACGTCGTAAGCTAGAGAAAGAAGTAACGGATCTTCGGAAACGCTTAACATTTTTAATTGACAAAGCCACTCCTATCTGGAACAAAGGACAGAAAACAAATAAACCGTCTTGTTCTCCAACGGGTTTTTCAATGTCACAGTGGTTTTTATCGTCAGAAGTTGATAAAAAGCCTGAAATAACAAATGGGGAACCATCCAGTTCCCGGAGATTTGGAAGTACAATTCGAACTAATTCTGGTTTAGGTAGTGCCAAATTTGAGTCAGTTACCTCAGTCAATAACTTTGATTCTCACATCAAAGACGATTTGGATGTTCAAACCTCCAGGGTATGTGATAGTTTGTCTAGAAGAAAGGAAGCTCTCGGTGTTCGTCCAGTGATTAATAGTTTAGGGGTTTGATTCACAATTGAAATACTCTACCTACCTTACTTTCTAACCTTCAAATAATAATTTCAGTTAGTAACCTGTTACATGAACCTGTATATTTTTATTTATGAGTTTGTATTATTTTATTGTTGATATTCAGGACTGAATTTTGATCGATCTTTATTGACATTTATGTATTTTCAGTGGTTCCTTGAATTTGATGGGTTTTTTTTGGAAGATCTAGTGTATATTTGAATTGTACCTCGGGATGAAATCCAAGGTACGCGTTTCGTTCATTGGACGAGTGGACGTATATACGAGTGTTAATGTTCACAATGTGACTTAAACCCTGTACTCGTTTTTTACTTAGCTACTGAATCCAGATAGCCAGTAATTTGTTTAACGATTATGAGTTAATGGCAGCTGCGAAAATTTCAGTGTCGTGTTGTTCAAAGTTATACATACTATCAGTATAGGGTTGTGGAGATTATTATGTTTTTGATTGAGATCATGAACCGATTGATTTTAGACCAGCATTGAAAACCTGGGAGCACTGGACGGGCGTTTCGTTCTATCGTGGGACTCCTCAGCAGTGCACATCCACGATCCCACTCGCGGGGTTCGAACCCAGAGCCTCCAGTCTCGCGCGTGGACGCTCAACCTCTAGACCACTGAGTCGGCACCCAGTGGTTTTAATGTCTAACCCTTAACCAACCCACGAAATCGCGCGACCATCTTGTACTGAGGTAGATACCTGTCTCTACCCGACACGAATTAGCTCCACATGCATATTAATTATTATTATTATTAATGGCTTTATTCAATATATTGTTGGGACAATATATTATTCTCAGCACGAAGTATTTCAACAAGTTACCTTTTCTTATTTCTTGATTGATTCTGATGATAAATATTGAGTGATCGCCAGTTGGATATGAGCAGTCCAGGAATTTACATCTGAATAATGTTCATTATTTTCAATACATTCTGCCAGCCACCACGGTGTCGCTGATTGTACTTTTTGATAACCTGTACAGCGAAAGGTTGCAAAATTTTCATAAACGCCCTGAATAGGTTTTGCACCTAATAGACATAGTGATGTGTTAAAACAAACAAAAACAGATGGCTTGTCTAAATATTCAGACGGTAGGAACAGGTAGCCCAGATATTCAAGCAGGCCGCCTTCAGATGGAGAGTAATAATCACACTTGCGAACGAATAAGTTGGGAAGCTTCAAAATCCCAGGAATTCTAACTCAGTGTTCTAAATGTATTTTCATTGTTGATGGTGAGGACGTATATGTATGTACCTTTTTTCATATCTTGTCTAGGCTTTTGTTTTGTGATAATGAGGTTGCGTGCCTTCATGCCACTTATTAACTGTATGTAATCTTTCGTTCCTGATTGTGAAAGGAAATTATTCGAAATTAATTTACATTTCTGAAACAACGATTAAGACACAAGCCTCAAGTTTATTAAGCCAGTTCTAGACATGGAAAATATATTAAGAATAATCATAGCATATTTTGAAAAAGATGGAAAAAAATTTCGTAAGTTTTGGGGCAAATTTGAATTTCGTGCTAAAAGTTTACGAAGCTATTTATCATTTGTGCATTTCTTATCTTGTTGTTCACTTTTAAAAGACGTACAATTCAAGGTCTTTGTCCTGAATTTCGGACAACTTTGATTTTTAACAACGATTATGTAATGAGGTATTTAGACTCTTGATTTAATGTAGAGATTTGACACAATGATCCAGACTTCCAATTCGTAAAATTTGCCTTATCTTTTCAGATCAATCTGACCTTTTTGTCGGATCTATGACCTCTGAACTATTAAAATCTAGTTCATAAACTCATCCCCGGTTACTTGATAAGATTTTTCTCAGCTTTTTTTCATTCTTTCACCATGAGTGGTATGTTAAAAAAGAACAGTACTAAAATACAAGACCCATCTTAATCTGGTTCATTGACGAGTTGTTATATGTGACGTGGTATCGAGATATATATCTTACTGTTTGGAAATTAACTCAACTGCTATGCAACTCACCTAATGTTAATACTGCTGAGGAGTCTCGCAATAGGACGAAACGGCTGTCCAGTGCTTCCAGGTTTTTCCATACTGGTCTAGCTTTAATTGACTCATGATCTCAACTATTAAAATTAGTATTAATTTTTTATAACATTTTTTCTAACCTACGGTTGAATTATCCAGCTCTGTTTAAGTATTCAATACTTTTACTTATAGGCTGATTTATCATCATTAATAGTTCAACAACTGGAAAGTCGCCAAAATGACTTACTTTATGAGAATCGTGAACTTCGAGATCTTGTCAGTCAACTCTCTTTAAGAATGATTCGATTCACTGATTTTCTCCAACGACATTGTACTACATGGGTACAAAATAATGATAATGTACTTCACTCCAAAGAATTCGATGATGAATTCTTTTCACTTGATGACGAAGAAGACGACGGCGATGAGTATTTTAAACGAGAATCATCCGACGAAGATTATTCAACTATTGCCATGTCTAAAGAAAATGGTCGTAGAAAATCAGCTCTTGTTAATAATCTTTTAATTGAATTACCGTATGCAGCAATTCGTGATGATCTTACCAGACGCGTACGTTATGTATCTCGATGTCTTTGGTGTAAATTAAAATGCTTAGCCAAACACTATACGACAAAAACAAGAGTAACAACAGAGAGAAATGTAACAGAAAACGTTGTAAATTCACAAACTTTTGTATTAGGTTAGTTTATCATGTTTTCCTAATATTTTAAATGAAATGTATTTCACTTTTTTTCAGCAGCCCGCCAAATGTCTTACTTATTTACTTACGCCTGTTACTCCTAATGCAGCATAGGCCGCTGACCAGCATTCTCCAACCCACTCTGTCCTGGGCCTTCTTTTCTAGTTCCATCCAATTCTTGTTCATTTTTCTCATGTCTATCTCCAATTCTCGGCGTAATGTGTTCTTTGGTCTTCCTCTTTTCCTTTGACCTTCAGGATTCCATGTGAGGGCTTGTCTTGTGACGCAGTTGGGTGCTTTCCTCAATGTGTGTCCTATCCACTTCCAGCACTTCTTCCTGATTTCTTCCTCCACTGGGATCTGGTTTGTTCTCTCCCACAGTACGTTGTTGCTAATAGTGTCCGGCCAATGGATCTGAAGTATTTTGCGTACACAACTGTTAATAAACACCTGTATTTTCTGGATGATGGCTTTTGTAGTTCTCCAGGTTTCTGCCCCATACAGTAGAACTGTCTTGACATTTGTATTGAAAATCATGACCTTGGTGTTGGTTGACAGTTGCTTTGAGCTCCAGATGTTCTTCAGTTGTAAATATGCTGCTCTTGCTTTGCCGATCCGCGCCTTCACATCTGCATCAGATCCACCCTGTTCATCAATGATGCTGCCCAAATATGTAAAGGTTTTTACATTTTCCAAATCTTCTCCGTCAGTTGTGACTGGATTGGCGCATGCTGTGTTGTATCGGAGAATCCTGCTTTTCCCTTTGTGTATATTGAGACCTATTGCTGCTGAGGCTGTTGCCACACTATTTGTCTTCTCCTGCATCTGTTGTTGCGTTTGGGATAGAAGGGCCAGATCGTCTGGGAAGTCTAGATCATCCAACTGCATCTTAGATGTCCATTGTATCCCGCGCTTCCCTTCAAACGTTGACGTCTTCATGATCCAGTCGATCACCAGGAGAAAGAGAAAGAGTGAGAGTAAGCAACCTTGCCTGACACCGGTCTTCACTTTGAACGACTTTGTCAACTGTCCTCCATGCACGATTTTGCAGTGTAATCCATCATATGAGTTCTGTATGATATTGACTATCTTCTGAGGCACGCCGTAGTGTCGAAGAAGTTTCCATAGTGTTGTTCTGTCCATGCTATCAAATACCTTTTCGTAGTCAATAACGTTGATGTAGAGCGATGAATTCCATTCAATTGATTGTTCCACAATGATCCGTAGAGTTGCGATTTGGTCTGTACACGATCTATCCTTACGGAATCCTGCCTGTTAGTCACGAAGTTGGGCGTCTACGCAGTCCTTCATCCTGTTTAACAATACCCTGTTGAAGACTTCTCGGTATTGAGAGAAGAGTGATGCCCCTGTAGTTATCACACTTGCTGAGATCGCCTTTCTTCGGTATTTTGATCAGAAGTCCTTCTTTCCAGTCTGTTGGTACTTGTTCCTCATCCCAAATCTTATTGAAGAGAATGTGGAGTATCCTTGCAGCTACCGCTACGTCTGCCTTTAGTGCCTCTGCTGGGATGTTGTCCGGTCCTGCTGCTTTGCCACTCTTGATTTGTCTGATGGCCATGCTGATTTCTTCAATTGTTGGTGGGCCAACATTGATTGGGAGGTCCGTGGGTGCTGCTTCGATGTTGGGTGGGTTCAGTGGAGTTGGTCGATTCAAGAGTTCTTTGAAGTGTTCTACCCACCTGTTTTGTTGCTCTTCAATGTTGGTGATTACCTTGCCTTCCTTGCTTTTCACTGGTCGTTCTGGTTTGCGGCGATTTCCAGAGAGTTTCTTTGTCGTGTCATACAATTGTTTCATGTTTCCTTCTCTTGCAGCCTTTTCCGCCGTCGTTGCTAAATCTTCCACATATTTACGTTTGTCGGTTCTGATGCTCCTCTTCACTTGTTTGTTTATTTTCGTGTATTCAGCTTGTGCCTTGGCTTTTTCTGCTCTTGTTCGGCTGGTATTGATCGCTGCCTTCTTGTTTCTTCTTTCTTGAATCTTATCCAGTGTATCAACAGTGATCCATTCCTTGTGGTGGTGCTTCTTGTGACCCAGGACCTCATGACATGTTGAAGTGATTGCCTCTTTGATCCCCTTCCAGGTGCTCTCCACAGTAGTTCTCCATTGAGTAGATCATGAAAGGCCTGGAACTTGTTGCTGAGGACTATCTTGAATTTGTTGAGTTTGTTAGTATCCTGGAGAAAGGCCGTATTGAACTTTTGTGATCCTGTCTGCCCCGTTGTCCAGTGCTTCTTGAGTTTCAATTACATCCTGGCGACCAGTAAGTGATGATCTGATGCTATATCAGCTCCTCTCTTGGTTCTCACGTCCTCTATAGTCCTCCTGAACGTTTTGTTGATGCAAATATGGTCGATTTGGTTTTGTGTAGAGTGATCCGGTGAAGTCCATGTGGTTTTGTGTATGCGTTTATGTGGGAATACGGTGCCGCCTATGACCAGCTTATTGAAGGCACATAGATTTGCAAATCTCTCACCATTTTCGTTTCTTTCTCCCAGTCCGTGTCGTCCCATGATGTCTTCATATCCAGTGTTGTCCGTTCCAACCTTGGCGTTGAAATCTCCCATCAAAATGGCCAAGTCCTTTGTTGAGTACTTGTCGACGATTGACTTCAGCCTATTGTAGAATTGATCTTTAACGTCTTCATTGTAGTCGTTGGTAGGCGCATAGCATTTGATGATGTTCATTGAAATCCCCTCTTTCTTTGTTTTGAAGGAGGCTTTGATGATCCTTGGTCCATGAGATTCCCATCCTATAAGTGCATTTTGCGCTTGTTTGGACAGCATCAATGCAACTCCTTGTGTATGTGGTGCATTTTCTTCTTCATGGCCGGAGTATAACAGGAGCTCTCCTGTAGTTAGTCGTTGTTGTCCAACTTGTGTCCAATGTGTTTCACTGATCCCAAGTACCTCTAGGTTGTATCTTCTCATTTCTGCAGCAATTTGGAAGGCTCTTCCGGTGTCCCACATTGTACGAACATTCCATGTACCTAAATAAATGGTCGCTCTGGTTGTCAGAAGGGGCATCGGCCTCGTAACTTCCGAAGGAATTCGGCTTTCATCATGAGGCGTCATAATTCTTCTAAATGAAGACCTTCTGACTCCCAGGGCAGAGTTTAAAAGGTTTGAATAATTTTTTCTGGTTGCGTTTTTTTAGCGAGTTTTCTACGGGATGGGGACGCTAACCCCATGCCCAACCCTCCTCCTTTATCCGGGCTTGGGACCGGCAGTAGCCCCCGGAGGGACTCCAGGCGGAGTTCCGCCAAATGTCATCACATCAATAATATCTCTATATTAAAATAGAAGACTTGTGAAGACTGCAGAATTTTGTAGTGTGTATATCATGAACTAACGTCACGAGAAGCGGGTTTTGTGGAGATTTTAGTAATCTAATATTTTAATTCATGATTCAATTAAAGCTAGATCACCATGGAAAACCTGGAAGCACTGAACGACCGTTTCATCCTAGTATGGGACTCCTCGGGGGTGCGCATCCACGACCCCACCAGGTATCAGACCCAGGATATTCAGGTCTGTGTGAATACTTCGATTTTGTATTACTGAAGTCACCGAGGAAGTTTCACACTGGAAGGAAACAACTATCCAGGGATTTGTGTTTTTCAATGTTTGTCTAAATAATATTAATCTATGATGCGATATATATAATTTTGGCATATGTCAGTACTTGAAACGTAATTTTATCTGATCGAGCATTCGTTTCAAATTAAGTATCCCTTCTCAACATCTATATAATAATACAAATGCATTTGTAATCCTAATATTTAATCATTCAGTTGTCAGATTACAGTGTTATTGTTTGACCTCACTTATCAAGACTTTTTGCCCGTTTTCTGACTAGGATAATTTGCTTCCATGCAATAAACGTGGCCCACGCATTTACACCCTTAGTTACTTGGTAAACATCAGTCTTTCGTTATTTCCTTGATTCTTATAATACAGTTATTCATTAATTAATTATATTGTTTATTGTCTGCTAGACTGTATACTTAAGTCTTCTCTCCGTATATGTCTAGCTTTATTTATTTTACGTGCTTATTATATTTACTAGACCTCCCAACGTCTATTGATGGAGATAATGAATATAATGAAGTGGAACTATTAAAAAGTCAATTAGCTGATGTGAAATCTTTAGCTGGTTGTAAGTCTTTATTAAAGGGGAAAGAGTTGATTATGGAGGTTAGTTTGTGATGTAATAATGTTTCTATATACATGTTTATATGGAATAGATGGGATGTAGTTAGTAATGGAATTCAGGACACGCGTTTCTTCCTATTTAAAACTCGTTATCTCGATGTATCTGAATCCCGGAGTTGATCATTAATCCGGGATAAAAATGCGCCTCCTGAATTCTACTGCTAGTTACATTCCATCTATTCTATATAAGTCCGTGTCATAACTGCCGATATCGAAGCCATCTGCACACGATGCACATATGCCAACCATAACTGATCGAATTTCAGTTATAATATCAACAACGGAATAATCTGAACGATTGCAAGTTTATTTATACACAGTATTTGTAGAGGCTTGTTTAATGTGAAGGTAGATTTATTAGTTAACATTAATTATATCTGTGATATTAACCATGCCAAAAATGAATCAGTCAGTCAAAAATGACATCAGATAGTCTCGTCAAATCCACTCTCTAACCCTATCATCCTGTGATGTAAGCCTATTTTTAGTTAATATTTATGGTCAAGTAATTATTTAAAATAAAATAATTCAGAATATCCATTGCTTTGTTATATTTTGGAGTTCATCATGTTTTATTGTCTCATGAGTAATGCGTTTATCTTAGTTCTAATTTTTTTCAGTCTCTAGTGTTAGGTCCGTGTCTTATAATTTTATTGCCGATTGTTTGTTGTGCTTTTTCATGTCATTGTCACGTAGTTTATAGAGTTTTTAATTATCATTCTGGAGTCATCTTTTTGACTGGTCAAATAGTGATGTGTCAGCTTGGCGTAACTCATGATAGGTTGTGACTAATGAGGAAATTGTTATTCAAGCTAATAACCTAAACAGCTCAGCAGGGCGTCTCGATCTTGAATTGGTATTGAGAATTATTCTCGAAAAATAAAGTCTACAAGATCATTCAATACATGATTAAAAGTTATTCAAAAGCTCTCACAAATTTACTAAATTTCCTGACTAGTTTCTCTAAGATAACTGGAGACCTGAATTACGTGCTGATCGAAACTTTCCATCAGGGCGTATTACACTCTCGAGGATGCTGATTATATCCACGCGTTCGGAGATGCTTCTCTCAGTAGTGATACAGTAAGATATGTTACCATTCAGCTATCGGGACCACAACTGATCTCCCTTAGATTCAGGACTTTCTCCCTGTCATTTCTCATCCAAACGATCTATACGATTTTGAACCAACTGGAGTAACCGTATCACATCTTGATCGGTAGAATTTGATCAACATTTAGGATTAGACTAACCCAAGATTAATTAATCAGTATCACCTTGATAGGAAGTTAGTTTTTTATTATTAATAATAATGTAATCATGGTCGTCCTTGAAATGTTATGCTATTACCATTCAATATTACAAAATAACGAAGTGATGTATTGTTTTAAAATATTGTCACTCTTAATAGAAAGATTCTTTATTTTCTCTCCCATAAAGCTATCAAATTGCCAGATTCGTATAAGTTTGCGGCCCGAGTGTCTTAAAAGCTGGATACATTTTCTTATATGAATAGAAGTAATAAAACAAAATGTGTACGTGTTTTAAGGATAAAATCGTGCAAAACAGAATCCGAATACGTTAGCTGATCTATTTTTAACTAATCAGCACTAGTGGATGAAGCAAGAAGGAGTTTCGTAGATAAATTTTATATGAATCTTCGTGTTTCTGCACGTTGTTGTTCTGAATATTTTTTGAAATGCTTTCCTATTTCAAACATGTTTTCATTCTGATTATATACAATTTGAGTAAAAGTGATTAAAATGTGCTAAACAAGAAAAACTAACTGCACATTGGATAGTTAAATCGAAAGTAGAATGCTTAGATTAGTGGCAGATCAAACGACTTAATTTTTTTAAAATGCTTATGTAGTTGCTTATGTATGTTGTCTACACAACTAAAGGATTCAGGCTTTTATATTATTAACAATCATTTACATTTTGGTAAATAATACTCCATCAGCATCATGTGGTCTTGAGTGCTGTCTTCTTTTAAACTAAGAGACTAAAATCACTTCATTCTTTCTGTCTACGAACTAATTCTTTCTTCCTATACTATATCCTTATTGCAACCTTTGACCTAACCACTGCTATGAATCCGGTGTTCATCTTGCTGTGCTGATGCGGTATGGCAACCTGGACCGATGCACATATGTGCCTGACTGACTGATCAGCATCATGTTATTAATAATAAAATATAATAACTAACATCATCCTACTTTTATTCTCATTACTTTAGTGGTAGTAGGAATTCAGTGTTTTTTTTTATCGTTCCATGATACGCCTTTATTTTTCATATATTATTTATTCCATCTTCGCTTTACGTAGGATATTTTATTCTCAAGTTATAACTTGGACAAACTGAAAATTTTGGATTTAACCAGTTCGAATCCAGAACTTGGTGGGAAAAATGAAGTACACTTTGACAAACATAATGTTCCTTTATTATTAAAGGAATCCAGTATTCGAATTTCAAAGAAAAATAAAGTATGTAACATTTTTTTATCATAGAATTTGATGAATTATAACTAGTAGTGATTTTAATCTTTACATTCTTCCCATAAATTAGGTAGGAAGTTTGTTTGTATACTTAAAGTCATAGATAAATAATTCGAATGTGTGTTCAGTCACTGTCCAAATAACAGCTCTAAAATCTCTGTGCTGTCAGACTATGGTTATGACTAATTGTGCTGATTGTTCAGGTTAAATTTATGGACATATCAGCGTTTGTATATTTGACGTTTGTTCAAACGGTAAACAAGTCGTTGTCAACTTGGAATTGCGAGAAGCAATCACTTTCTTTCCATCGACACAACTGTGTTGTACCATCGTGTGGCGCATATATGTTTGGTGCCCTCTTGTACCAATATTTATGTGTTCAAGTAAATAAATGTTGTACCATTTCTAAGATGTTAACCAGGACCTACAGAAGCTAGTCCTGCACATGTTTCCTTCACACCACAACACCCTATCATATACTTATTACCTCTCCGCTTCTTCCAACCAGTCCCAGAGTCGGCAAATAATGCACGATGTAGAAATCGCTGGGAAGGCATTCGTAAGACATGTACGAACTACCGAATTCGATGTTTCAAGATAGTGACACCAATTGAATTATCAACTCTGTTCCCGAACACACGATGCCGAACCTCTGCATTACTAACATGGTGTTGCTACTGAATGTCAGCAATCCTTCGGAGACAGCGATCATCGAACACAGAGAGTCGTCTAACATCCTCAACTCAAAGAGGCCAGATTTCACAAGCATAGAGCGAAACTGTTCTTACCGACGCGTTGTAGATCCGACCCTTTACAGCCATACTAACATCACGAAGGCTCCAAAGATGGCCCAGATTGGCATATGCCGCTCTGGCTTTCACTATAAGAGAATTGATCTCACCACCCACACCATCGCTGCCTTTTAATTTTATCACTGTTAAAATGTGAAGAATTTAACTTTTCGACCAACTTATATAGACTGAGTTGCCTACTTCAACAACTATCATGAGTAAGGTATCAACGTATTGCCCTCTGCAACCATCCGATTCAGATACAGGGACTCGATGCTCTCTCTACGCGAGACCAACCCGGTATGTGAATGGTGGAAAACTAGGAAGTTGTAATCAATAAGAAAAATATACGTCTGCACAACTCAGTGGTATATATAAATATATATCTGTTCATTAAATGCTTCAGTTAAGATCTGTTATTTGTTTATGACTCACTTCATTCAATTGCGTACTTTGTTCCTCACCTCTAACCTAATGCTTGACCTTGGAATGACATATGGGATCAGGTACATATATCTGGAATGCTGTACTGTGTTGTATGAGGAAAACAGGATTAAATCATTTTTTGTTAATTTTCTGGTTTGATTTTATGTTTCTATTTCCGTACTTTTCGAAAATCTTTCAGATGGACAGCTCCTCAAATTCATCAGATAATTCACTTTATTCTCCATGTAATTAATCTTTGGCTTTTATTATCTTACTGGTTTTGACTTGAAGCAAGTGAGTTTTTATGTATGAAGATGAAAGATAATATGTGAACTTCATGTGTTGACATTTTTGAAGTTCACAAACAGTTTAAACTATTTTAACTGACCACGGCTTTATCTACATCGGATAATTCAGCCGGAACGCAGGTACATCCAGCTAACAAGTCCCTAGTACAACTGAACACACGTCCCGGATTGCACTGCTAGCTACATCTCATCTATTTTATGCATTGGATAGTGTTCGTCTGTATAGAAAACTAAAATATTCTTAGAGCGTTGACCAATTACTTTAGTTTTAATCACAAGTTAAAACGTTGAATTCGATTACGTTACAGTGATTGCTAATTGTGAAAGGAAACCGATGTCGTTTTGAGAAATACTTGATCATTATCAAATTGTAGTTTTCTTTCTACCTATTCATTTTCGTCCACTCAGTGAAAAACAAAAAACAGCTTAAACAAGCAACATACTGATTTTGTTGGATGAATTTTGTGTGATTTCTTGCTGTTGTCTGATCATTGTTACATTTCTGGATTTTAAAAGCTAAACAAAAATTCTGCACGTTAATTTTCATCTTATAGTTTGGTACGCTATGAGCAGACATCACTATTTCTAAAGTATTCAGTTTGTCAGACAGACAATCATTCAGTAATGTTGTTATAAAGAAAATTCACATGGAATTAGCAGATAATTAGTCATTCATAATCAAGATAGAGTCTAGTACGGAATACGCATCGGCCCAAACTGGCATACTTCATTGGGACTACGAGGTAAATTACAAACTAATCGAAAAACAGTCTAAGAGCAATGATTTTGAGAAAGACAAAACGTGAATGTGGTTTGAAGTGACAGTGGAAAGTTATGCATAAAGGGATACTAGAATTCAAGATCTAGAGCATGATCAGAAGTTTATGCATCTGTGCCCTTAAGACCGATTCTGAGCGATGCAACTCTGACCACTGGTCGCTGCCATCATGTCAACTACAAACAGGTAATCTGCACTTACACGGTTCTAACCAAGAGTCTATAAATTTATGGACTAATGGTACATCTTGATTGGGGTGCCTCTATTTTTCGTCTTGTTTGCTTCTACACTGGCTTAAAGCCCCCCGTGGAAGTTAGTGGTGGTTGAGCATATGTAATTCATCCCCTAACCACCTCAGTCGATGGTGATTCACAACCTCATCAATCGATTCCACACCTTCACCTAGCCCTCTATGCTAGATAAATGACCAATGCTTCAAAGACACTTATAATCAAAAACCTTCAGCTTACACATTTAGAGTCAAGTGAATGTACTTTTTGCAAATAACAGGCATAAAACAATCTATCTGTTAGTTAGATGGGAACTAATGACACTAAAATTCATTCACATTAAGGTGTAATTCAAGGAATATGCATTTTGTTTCGTTATTTTTATTTAACCGAATGACACTTTGTTAGAGAAAATACTAGTATTCCTATGCTTATACTATTGTATACTCTGTCCTTATCTCTACTGACTCAACTATATGTGTGTAATTTTGATTAAATGATTGAAGTTCTTTTAGAAACTGAAAATAATGATAGATATGTCCGTGGAGATAAGCTGTTCAGTACTGATCATACTGATTTCAATTATATTTAAAATAATGTTTTCTTATTTGTGAACAGTTAAACCTTCGGTATCATTATTAGCAAGTGTTTAAACTATCTTGGTAATATTCAATGATATATTTCGATCAGTCTTCGTTGGCATTTGTGAATTGTATACGAATCAACTTAGTATGATCAATAGACTGATCAAGATACAGTCCTATATATTAACACCAGAATAATTCAAACCCTTACTACTAAATGATGTAAACATCTTACCCATTAAATACGTCAGTGGCTATCTGAATTCAGTGAATAACACTGGCAAATCTTAGTGTAAACATCAGCCCTGAGATCTGTGTAGACCAAAACAGACGAGACTGTCGACCTGAAAACGATCGCTTGCTACAATCCGTCCTTTTTGACAATAAAATAACAATTCTTACAGTACTTTCTACCTCGCTCATCAAATCCATAGAATACATAGCATTCATTTACCCATATGTATATATGCACAAGCGATGTACTGATTTGAATGCCTTTTAAGTCTATCCATCACATATTAATTTCTTATTACAAATAATAATCAATCAAGAGGACACTGATAATACAAGGTTTTGTAGTTCTTGATCCCCTTTATTGATTTTAACTAACTATTTAGTTAACCTTTTTCTAACTCTTATTTTGTAGTCTACTTTCTCTCTCTCTCTCTCTCTCTCTCTCTATATATATATATATATATATATATATATATATATATATATGATGAATTCTTGTATGTACGATATTTACTACCATATCTTTCCATTTGTCTCTCATATAACTGTCGTTATAGCAACACTTTTAATATATAAAAAGCTGTTTTCTCTTATTTTCGTAGGTTCTTTAGTTGAAATCAAACGTAGTTTTCTACTTTTCAAGTAAACACAATTAATATTTTTGCAAGTCAACTCTGTTTCTGCATAATCTCATAAATCTCTTGACAAGATAAGGGTCAATAGTGATGATAATGTTAGACGGCCATGTTGAACACTACTTTATGTTAATTTAAAGTTATAAGTAATTGTATATTTTTGATTGAAATCATGAATCGATCGTTGTTATATCACCCTTAATAACCTGTAAACACTGGATGGCTGTTTCGTCCCAGTATGGCACTCGTCAGCAGTATCCATACATTAATCTAGATTAAATGGAGATCATTGAAGAAGGCAATTCAGCGAGGAACATATGCTATGAACATATCAGTGTATGTAACATCGAATGTCTTAAAAATGGAAGTCCCAATGAAGTTGATACTCTTGTGTATGCAGCACAGAAGGAGTTGGAAAAATGGCTGGAATTGCTAAATATAACAGACCTATTTACTGAACATTAAGGACGTTGTGGCAAAACAGTTTAGTACTATGTCAAGCTTCTGGGCAGACCAATTTATTCATTTTTCTTGAGTCACGTTTTGACCTTGTTAATTATTCGCTCATTAGGCTTACTGCTTTTATATGAGCGTGTGTGTACAGCGCTTATCCTATTCATGGCATGTCTTTGGCCTAGTTCTGCCCGGCTATAAATATTGAGTTACGCTTTGTCAAAGATGAGTTGGCCCACTCGCCTTCTCATCCCCGGATAAACGAGTGTTTGAAATAAATTCATCCAACGTAATCCATATATGGCTTCTTATTACCGCCGTCATACAAACGGGATTAGCCTAGATAATATACTTAGTTAAACGGCAGATTTATGTTCATAGCATACTCATACTTTCATCCAAATTGCAGTCAAATCAAGGGCCACAAAATGTGAGAAGCACTCATTTTGAAAAAAAGCATATCAACGAAGATAATTTTTTTCTCGACGATTTCATTTATTTAAGCTGTACAAATTAATTACAAATACGATTGTACAGCTTAAGTGAAATCTCTGAATCGCCTTCTGAAATGAATGTTTTCAACGACTTTCGCTACAACGTTTCCAATGTTCTGTAAGTAGGTCTGTTATATTTAGCAATTTCATCTCTTATTTCAACTCATTTGAGTCGCCTTCTGTACTGCATACACAAGGGTATCATCTTCATTGGGACTGCCATTTTCAAACCCTTCAATGTTACATACACTGATATGTTTATAACAGATAACTGCGGGTAAATCCTGCTGCATGAAATAAAATCTTTTTGCTGAAAATTAAACCCACATTGGAAACGTTTCTAATTAATTCGTTTTTTCTTGGTACTGTTTTTCTGCAGTTTACTTTCCCGTAATATTATCGATTAAACCGGATTATCATTATCTAGTTGAATAACTTGAGTATATATTATGCATTTCTTTTAATGATCTAAGTTTATTGATGTGATGACTGTGTTGTAATGATTGTATTTGTATCATGGTCAAATCACACCTTATAGATTGAAGTGTTTGAATTTCAGTTACCACTGTAAGGTAAGTCCAAATATGACCCATGTCGTTTTGTTTAGGTAGTTGGATATTTTAAACGTGTTTTAGTAAACAAGAACACGATTGGGGACAATCAGATGTATCTGAATACAAAATTACAGAGCATCTTAGTAAATTGAGAACCCTACAGTAAATACTTAATTTGCAAAATGTCAACCATTTGTCACAAACTTCACTGTTCTTTCATTTCCACAGCAATCATTCACTGTTCTCGCTCTCTGTTCTATCTTCTTAACCTTCTGCTACCAGGTATTTCATTTTCGATTGATGATACATACTTCTTATATCTATCAACATCAATAGAACACACCACAGTGTGACTAAAACAGTATGGAAATCTTCATTAGCAAGCTTATTAAATTCGTGTTATAAATACCTACCTGGACGGGCGGTGTTAACATGGGTCTAGGAGTAGGTTTTAAAGAATGCTGGGATTGACTTAACTAAAACGTTAAATCAGTTTCTGAATTCATTTACTGCTGATCTGAACCGTGTTGATAGGTGAAGGCTACCTGATTGGGTTTCACGAAATGACTTCGAACAGTATTTTCATTGAGATAACTAAACCGATCACACTGCCACAGATACATTTCCTTATCATCTTACTCTAACTCTTGAGTTTTAGTTTCCCTCCATCCATACCTTCACATTCTGTTGTTTAGAATAGTTTCTTCAATGCATCATTTTTATATATATGATTAATAGTTACATTATTTCGAGTATTTTGGCATTTATTTTGTTAAATTCATCTCTGTGTTGGTGTTCTATGGTAACTTGTGCTAACTCACATTTACGTCATGCTGTACACTGATTATGATTGACTGACTGTTATTTATTTGAACACACAAACGTTGGTACAAAGCGGCACCAAATAGATATGCACCACACAATAACAATAAGTTTGTAGTGACAGGATGTATACTGAGTATGATAAAAAGAAGAACAACAGCGAACAAAGATTGGTGTATGTGAGTGAGATAATAATAATAAATGGGGAACCAGTTTAGTCAAGAAGTATACAAACAGAAAGAAATGTTCCCGTTAAACAAGCTGCTTTCTTTTTCTTAAAGAAAGGCAAAAAGAGTTACAACAGGATCACCACTGACTTCTGTTCCGAACCATATCTGATAAAATTTGAACTCGCTTTGTTGTATCATCTTTAAGATGTTAACCAGGAAGTCGCAAAGGACCAACAGAAGACAGTCCTTTACAGCTTTCTTTCATGCCACGACACCATGTCATGCACTGACCACCTCTCCGCTTCTTCCAACCAGTCCCAGAGTCGGCAAATAATGCACGATGTAGAAATCGCTGGGAAGGCATTCGTAAGACATGTACGAACTACCGAATTCGATGTTTCAAGATAGTGACACCAATTGAATTATCAACTCTGTTCCCGAACACACGATGCCGAACCTCTGCATTACTAACATGGTGTTGCTACTGAATGTCAGCAATCCTTCGGAGACAGCGATCATCGAACACAGAGAGTCGTCTAACATCCTCAACTCAAAGAGGCCAGATTTCACAAGCATAGAGCGAAACTGTTCTTACCGACGCGTTGTAGATCCGACCCTTTACAGCCATACTAACATCACGAAGGCTCCAAAGATGGCCCAGATTGGCATATGCCGCTCTGGCTTTCACTATAAGAGAATTGATCTCACCACCCACACCATCGCTGCCTTTTAATTTTATCACTGTTAAAATGTGAAGAATTTAACTTTTCGACCAACTTATATAGACTGAGTTGCCTACTTCAGCAACTATCATGAGTAAGGTATCAACGTATTGCCCTCTGCAACCATCCGATTCAGATACAGGGACTCGATGCTCTCTCTACGCGAGACCAACCCGGTATGTGAATGGTGGAAAACTAGGAAGTTGTAATCAATAAGAAAAATATACGTCTGCACAACTCAGTGGTATATATAAATATATATCTGTTCATTAAATGCTTCAGTTAAGATCTGTTATTTGTTTATGACTCACTTCATTCAATTGCGTACTTTGTTCCTCACCTCTAACCTAATGCTTGACCTTGGAATGACATATGGGATCAGGTACATATATCTGGAATGCTGTACTGTGTTGTATGAGGAAAACAGGATTAAATCATTTTTTGTTAATTTTCTGGTTTGATTTTATGTTTCTATTTCCGTACTTTTCGAAAATCTTTCAGATGGACAGCTCCTCAAATTCATCAGATAATTCACTTTATTCTCCATGTAATTAATCTTTGGCTTTTATTATCTTACTGGTTTTGACTTGAAGCAAGTGAGTTTTTATGTATGAAGATGAAAGATAATATGTGAACTTCATGTGTTGACATTTTTGAAGTTCACAAACAGTTTAAACTATTTTAACTGACCACGGCTTTATCTACATCGGATAATTCAGCCGGAACGCAGGTACATCCAGCTAACAAGTCCCTAGTACAACTGAACACACGTCCCGGATTGCACTGCTAGCTACATCTCATCTATTTTATGCATTGGATAGTGTTCGTCTGTATAGAAAACTAAAATATTCTTAGAGCGTTGACCAATTACTTTAGTTTTAATCACAAGTTAAAACGTTGAATTCGATTACGTTACAGTGATTGCTAATTGTGAAAGGAAACCGATGTCGTTTTGAGAAATACTTGATCATTATCAAATTGTAGTTTTCTTTCTACCTATTCATTTTCGTCCACTCAGTGAAAAACAAAAAACAGCTTAAACAAGCAACATACTGATTTTGTTGGATGAATTTTGTGTGATTTCTTGCTGTTGTCTGATCATTGTTACATTTCTGGATTTTAAAAGCTAAACAAAAATTCTGCACGTTAATTTTCATCTTATAGTTTGGTACGCTATGAGCAGACATCACTATTTCTAAAGTATTCAGTTTGTCAGACAGACAATCATTCAGTAATGTTGTTATAAAGAAAATTCACATGGAATTAGCAGATAATTAGTCATTCATAATCAAGATAGAGTCTAGTACGGAATACGCATCGGCCCAAACTGGCATACTTCATTGGGACGACGAATATTCTGAAGCGTCTATTTAGTGAGATAGAAGCCAATAAGCAGACTTTTCTCTTGATAGCTGTCTTAGAAACGACATAAACCGTCTTTTAAGGTATGGATGACTGTCAACTCATTCCACGACGTTCGATACTCGGATCGCCAGACTTTTGTAAATATCTCAGTTAGTTCCGTAACGAAAAAGTCATTATCATCTATAAAAAGGACCGGAGTCACGTTGTCTGAGACTGGTGATTTATGGCACTCCAGGAGTCGGACTTTCTTGTAAATTTCTGCGTCGTCAGGTGAAACAATTGTCACCAACGATTGAGGGCAGAAAAGTCTGATCGATGTCGCCGAAACAGCAGGCCAGTTGGACTGTTCGTCGAAGAATTCTGCCTATGTTCCAAGACGTCGATAGATGTTGTTGATTTACATCCCACCCGCTTCACAAATTGTTTCACTCACACCAAACGTCTCGCTGCTAGTAACTTGGATGCGTTGGAAGAGCTTCGGGCAGTATTCGGGGACAGTTGCTGTTTCTAACTCGTTAGCGCGCACCGACCATCAGGCTCTTCGGTCTTTACGCAAGCTTTTCACAACTGCCCAATCTATAAGATCTTACGTGGAAGTCACATCATTGTCTACACCAACTCATCGCATCGTAACAATCACGAATATATGATGGAGAAGAAACTTAGGCCAGAGATAGAACAATATATTTAATATGAATAGACGATTTTGTTACAACACTTAAGGGTGACCACGCCCGCAAGGCCGAGCCATGCCGTCCGATCAATTCGAATTAACCCTATTCATTGTTCCCGCCTTTTCCATCGTTGGGTTTTTCTCCGCGTTAGATATCGAACATATATTTTCCCAGTTGTCTCGTGTTCAGCTTTGAGGATTGTGTGGTTAGGGCCCAACGCCACTATAGTCTCACTCGATCACTTTCGACCAGTCAGCAACTCGAGATCGTTTCGACAGGAGGAAATTTCCACCATAGGCGAGTCGCTGAATACGTTGAAAGATACAAGAACATATGAAAATAGAATAAAGGGGGCAGACAAGTGACGTAGTGACCGTGTAAGCGAGCTGTTGTATAAGTTGAGAAATAAAGATACACAAAGTTAGAGTAGGAAAAAGTAGATAAGTGACGTGGAATATAAAGAAAGATAAAAATGAATGTTATCAAATGCATGTGAGTTGTCTGAATTTTAATTGGAGCGAGAGCAGTCTTTCCAGTAATTATTGCCATTTCATTTTATTTGTGTGTGCTGTGATACTGCCCGGATGCTCAAAGTGGAGCAGGTAGTTTTCTTAGGGGGTCACCGCCAGAGCAGTGAAGCGACGTCAGGAGATGCAGTCCGATAGTAGTTGGTGACCAACAATTAGTTCACACGCCATTTGTTCCTTCAGGATCCTGGAGCCTATGTGCACCATAGGTTTGGGTGGACCCTCCGTATCCACCAACCTGGGTTAAGAGCCGGACATTCGCTTTTCGTCCTCTCAATTTTATAAACAACACCCCTGCTGCGGGAATGCTGTGAGTAGGATTTCTCTGACAGTGGCTGTATACGCGTGGCTATGTGAAAGCACTTCGAGAGGAGCAGACTGTCTCCACCCTCGGTCGTACTGGAGCATTTATTTGGGAAGATAAGTATGTTTTAAGTCGACTTTCGAGAACCTTTCAAAATCATTAAGTCGATTTAGACTTCAATGTCGTGCACGTCTGTTTCAACAAACGGGAGTTCAGTGTTAAAGTCACCACATATTCTAAGGGTATTGCCATCCAACTTCAATGGCGTACCTCATGCTGAAGACTGAATCGGTTCAACTATACCTTTCTCACACAAATCATTTATTGTCTTATGTACTGCTTCTGGAAGACCATAAGGAATTATTCGTCTTTTAAGAAAGATTGAATCACCCTTTACTTGAAGTTTTATAAGCTGAATTTTCGTATCTCTACTGCACATGGCGCACGCAGCTATCAAATCTTTAAGTAAAGCATCAGAATTTTCCTTACAAGCTAGTAAAGCCAAATTGTTAAACCCTGTCTTGTTTCGCTAACTAAAACTTCATAAGACATGTATGAAGAATTGACATCCCTCAATAGTAATTCATAGCATCTTCGTATGGGTAGTCTGTATCCAGTAGCCCCCAATATTGAAACTTTATTTGGTTGTACCATAACGTTAGGATCTAAAGATTATTTTTTATATTAGTAACCAGTCTGTTGAAATAATGTTTATCTTATTAACAACTGAACCAAATTGTAAATGTTTTTTTCAGTGTTGTTACTTTGTGAATAATGTGTAACTAGTTGAGCTTACTAGATAAAACATTCGTACTAATTTATACTATATTTTTGGCTAAGCGCACCGATTTTTTTATAGATAAAGTCGACTATGATTGTTTCGAGTCGTAGCGATATTTAAATTTCAAATAATACTGTTTCCTTGTGTTAAGTTTTGCCTTACATCTCTATTGGTAATATACTCAATCAGTCGAACGCAGTGTAGTACCTAGTACGTGTTTACATCTATTGATGTTGACGTACCTCATTGGCACTGTGAAATTGAATTGTTAAGGCAAATCCCATAGTAGTGAAAGCAGAACAGTATTAGTGATGATAGGAAAGTTCGGGGATCCAAGAAAATATAAAAGAATTTTTGTGGAATCTAGAAACTTAGAATCTGGAGAAACAAAGTGTTGGTGCACCTGCAACTCGACTGTAGCTGCTACACCTTGACGTGATAGTTGGACCTGCCTATCGGATGACTCAGTCAAGAGCTACATTGCCTGGATCACATTCTGATTTAGTTCCTACTATATTAAACAGGCTGGTCTGAGGGTGGGTTGTGTAGACATTGACATTTTTAACCATCACAACGATTATGAATTACGAGTATGGTTGTTGTTTAAGTTCGTCGATTTAGACGTGTCATATTAGAAACTCATTAGTTGTTGGCATTAAAAGATTATTTTATACCTTTAGCGTTATTAGTTTTTACATGCACTTTTGTATCCACCAAAATAATTGTGTGAGAAATGTTATATATATATATATATATATATATATATATATATATATATATATATATATATATATATATATATATATATATATATATATATATACTTTTTGAGTTGTCGAGCTACTATTATAACATGCAATCAATAATAGGGAATTCTTATCTCACAAGAACTAGTGTTTCAGCACAGTTTCTTACTTAGTTGTTGTCAAATTTATGTTTGATTTTTGAGATATGCATTTTCTTCATTTGCACTGTAATGCAGATGAAATAGCAAACTCGTTTGGCTTACCTACTGAAAACCTCACTATTGATGTATGAACTAACGTTTTCTATTCAGTAACGAAAATAAATGCTAATTTTGTGATGATGTGCAGTGTCCGATTCTAATATTGATACCCAGTCTTACTAAACACGAGCCCTATCACCTCGTGAGTAAAACGATGGAAAGTGGAGAGGAAGTCCATTGACTAAGCTAAATCGTTAATGTTTGTTTACTCATTCATATATACATAATATATTGTCACCTAGAGAATTAAGCCATCAATAGTGTATCTCTCTTCCCTTAGAAACAGAACTCTGTTTTTTGATCGATCGCATACTCTTGTTCGGTTTGATCAGTTTCAGACTGGCCCAATACATCGTCCTTCATCTGTCCGTTTTTGTAATTTGTATTCTCACTCTTCAGTATAGCGGTTGAGAGGTCAAAACTTGTTTATATTTTGTGTTTTAATAAGTTCTACTTCACTAGGTTTTATTAATGATTAACTACTCAATGTTTAGGTAACGTAGATAATAATAGAAGGATTAATTCAGCTTCGTAATTTCGCGTATGCCTTCACTGCTGTTAAGTGTAAGTTTTGTCATTAATTGAATTATCTTCAAGCAGTTCACTCAGTGAACCTAGTGCCCCTAATTATGGACATCGATGCATAAATCTTTTTCTCTCAATTCCTTTAAGTTTCCCTTCCCGTATTCTTGAGTGTAATCTTCTCAACCTTCTTTTTACAGGCATTCAACTTCTGTTTGGTGTTACATACTATTTATGTCTGTTGGCATAAGTAGCATACACCACAATACTACTATTACACACTATCTGTCAGCCTTCTGATACTATTCTGTACTAAAATTGGCCATTTAAAATCAGTTATTATTCTTTTATTTTAATTCGTAATCATAGTCTAGTAAGGAACAAACCATATCTTCGTAAACTAATAAAAACATTTTTAGCCAATAATGAAGTGGTCACTTCGGGTTCCTCAGAAATTCTAGTTAATTATTAAGTAAAATTGCAATATATTTGTAGATTAGGATATTTATCTTGGCTAAATAATTTCAGGTGACCAGACGACGCACTTGTTATTGTTACACACCGTGATTTATTCGAACATTTGGACATATAAGTTCTAATATTCCCATATATTTTCATCTATGTATTTGCCCCTGTTTGGTTACGTGTATCCCTGGACATGTTTTATACACGTGTGTTTGTCCATTTCCTTCATGACTTATAAAAACTCGGTCACCTTGTTACTCTCTGAGTCGGTGTATTACCGAACTTCAATGCTTTATACATTATATATCTTTCATTAGCTTATCTACCATTCAACTTCAGCATATCTAAAATATAGGTACCCCAAATATAATGCTTATTTATACTTTTATTATCTACGTTGTACGAACGTAGTTTGTCGGTAGAGTGTATACGAACTAAATAGGATCTATAATTCACTATCATTGTCGTTCAGTGTGTTATATCCTACTGACGATCAAATTATAGGTAACCTCTGCGATCTATTTATGGACGAATATTACACGTATATTCTCATTGTATAACTAGTCGGTAACTAGATTATGTATATTAATATCCCTCTTATTGTAAACTTATTTTGACTTATAGACTATTAATATACGATTTCCTGATCTTAATTTATGTCCAGTTTAGTGATTATAGTCTCCCGCAATCACAGTCATTTTTTGGCTTGATCTTGTACAAACGTTGTTTCCTATTTTGTAGTGTGATATGGTCCGCTTGGCTTGTGTATAAACCAGATTTGTTTGAAATAAATTATTCGTATAGTGGAAGCTGGTATTGGTTTCCTGAACTCAACTGGCAGGGCTAGGGAGAAAATGACCGATAGGTATGCTACGCTGCTCATACCGGTCTATACGTCATTGGTTTGTTGCAGAGCTGTGATTTTATAAGTCATGTTCCGATTGGCAAATAAGTCACGTGATGATTAGTCGGTTCCAAAAACAACATAGTCATTATTACGTTAATCACAAGCAAGAAACTGAACATTATCACAAAATTATAACTAGATGATCAGTTAGTATCTATATTCTAACGCAAACCACTTGGTCTGAGACAAATGGCAATACTTCAAACATTTTTTGAGCCGACATTATTTTTACTATAAGTAATTCACAAAAATACATGTTTACATGTGGTTATTTGTAAATCGGTCCTTTTTGTATGTTAACCATCATATAACGAGATGTGTGGCGCATATGTATCTGGTGCTCCCTTGTATTCAAATAAAAAAATAATACCATTACTGCATCCTTTGGTCTCCACGTTATGTCGAGTTTGAGGTTTAAATAAGTAAAAATATTTCCAATTGTACAATATTGATAAGCGTTCCTAAATATTTGGATAGATTGACCGCAAATATAATCTGATATTTCTTAAAAATTATTTCGTTAAAAATTTTCATTTTTTCCAAGTAATCTTGCCATTGTCACCATGCTTAAACATTTTCATTTCACTATCATATCTTGTATAAAACGTGATAAGTGGTTAATTGACTTTAATGTTGTTTTATTTTTAGAGGTGCCAGTCACTCCTACTCATACTGCTTTCACCAACCCTCTCATTCTAACTCGTGCAATTATACCGAGAAAAACATCATAATTGTAATCAAGCAGGATTGTCCTTTTGACTCATTACTCAACATTCAACGGACCATTACAATAGATAATAGCTACACCAAGCCTATTCACTATTCGCTTCAAACAGTTTCAGATTCTTACATATTTTCTTTTACAGTGTAAATACATGCTTCCCTTTTGTACCGTATATAAAATATGTTTTGGTCTTCATTAAAAATAATGTCCGATCTTTTTGAGCAGTGCTTTGTATCACCATACATTTAAAATATAATCATAACAACTACCTCTTCCGTTTGTATTTTCTAGACGTGGCAAACGGTTCCAGCTCTGTGAATCTTTTTGACCACCAATGTCCAACTATTTTACGTTATTTCTTCACAATACTTGACGTGTGTTTGTCCAGAACCTCTTAGCCCTGCCCCTCTAAATCACGAGGGTTATATTCGGATAAATTGCTGTATGGTCCAGAGATATGGCAAACCAATGAAGTGATTTTCACAAGTGGCCAATATAATGCACATGGTAACAACGAGCATATTGTCTATCATTTCCATCCTAAATACCGTCCCAATTCATATTAACATAGATTATAAATCCACGTAGCTACAAAAACAGTTCAGTTTCCTGACTACTTATCTAACCATAAAATCAGGTGTAAACTGTTGCATCGCAAGATAGCCTGCTGTATATTTATGAAGCATGAAGATATTGGGTCTTGAATCACATCTTGATCTCATTCATTAGGAACTACATTTCAGTAATGTCAGCAGTGCGTGTTTGAGTATAGTGAAGGGAATAACTTTATATGCGTATTTACATGGTGACAGCTGTTTTTCGATGTTATGACTAGATGTAAAGCAATTTTCCGTTAGTAAAGTGAATCACTACCGGGTAGGCCTTTGGTGACTCATCTACATGTATCTCTAAGCCTTTATTGTGTCCAACGATAACAGGTTTGAAGTGATTGACCACAACAGAAAAGAATGGGTAATGAAACATTTCTTGATGTTGATTGCAATTACCTGTCACTTTTCTAACTATGCTAGTACTTCACAAATAGTTGCTTCCACCCTGGTGTTCCTATATAACTTTAAAAACCATGGAAATATTACAAACTTAGGTCGCCGGCAAAGTTTCATTAGCTCAAAAATTGGTTGATGCACCACCGAATTTAAATTTCGTGGTGCGTATCTACCCCTTGCCTTATCCTGAAAGACGTTTAAAACTATTAAATTTTATTAGGGTATATTCAGGTGAAAATTATCATCTGCTCAGTTAGTTATTCAACGTCAATATATATATTCGAGCGAAATGCCTCCATGGCCTTCTAAAGTTCCAAAGCGAGACTGCTTTTCCCTACGTGAAGTTCAACAACTAATGCTAATCACAAAAGGTATTAGAAAGTGTTCACATTCTTTTTTCGCCAATGCATTACGGATCATTCTGAGCGGGTTTTTACTACATTAAATTTATCCTAACCCATAAGAAGCTGTAATAATCATACTTTAATCGTTTTATTATCCTATGTGTCCATTGCGAATCGATGAATGATTGGTCGAATGTCATCTAGTTATCTTTGTATTTTATCTGTCACTTTATTTTCGAACATCATGCCAGTGTAAACCGTTCTAATAAGTTGAAGTTGACTATATGTACGTTGTCGGTTCGTATGTTCCTCATTAACGATCTCATCTTTTAACTATTCGATGAGTGGTTATAATTAATTACTCGTAGTATTCTGTCAAAAGTGATTGGCTATTCAGTTACTAGTTGTTCTGACCTCGATTATTTAAAAAAAAAGTGTGGTTGAATATATCGTCTTTTTCGGTTACATAAGTATATTAGAAATCATCATATAATAAGTTGTTGATGTTGAAGGGTTAGCCTTCATGAACTCCAGCTTGTGTCATAAGGTCTGCAACATTTTTCTCCAACGAATCTATTTTCGACCCCATTTCTTCAAGTAGAAAGCTGTGGTTAAGGAAAAGTGTCAATTATTGGCGAACTAGTGAGATACGTCTATGGGTCCACGTTATCATACTTTTCAACAAGTGCATAAAGTTGCTATATAAGAAAATAATTGGAGAATGAAGAATAAGCATAGTAGGTTAAGCTAATGCTCTTACATGTTCTTGTAGAATACCATGCAAAAGAGTACAGGCTTCTAAATTTGATTTTTCAAGACGGTCTTAAAATATAGTCAAAGACACTACATGACGAGACTACGAATCAATTGTTTTTAGCACTTTATTTGACTGGTACGGAAGTAGGTTGCGACACAGCTAAAATATGATGTTCTATCACTCGATAAAGTCATCGTCTTCTAGACCGAGCCATGTTCGCAAGTATGGACTACGTGGTTGGAGTTCCCGAGACTTTCATAATCAGTTTCTAGGAATGTTATATTACATAATTCTGAGTTCATCACAGCTGCTCTGGGACAATATTCTGTTATCGTCTTACATTTCGAACTTCATGATCATCAATATACTACTATCTTGTAAATTCGTTCGCGAATCGTACTGTTTATGTTTGGTCTTTCATACTAACAAGGATGACGTTACTATAATAAGATATACTCGCATCCTCCTGATATATGTTTTTAGCATGAACGTGTGTGTATACGTGCCGGGTTTACGTTGCTGACGTATGGCAGCCCAAATGAAACTGTTTTTATGGCCAACAGAAATACCTATCTATTTTTATGCACGTCAACTGGCAATCAAAGTCGCATGTGCCAATTTTCTCATCATCAGACCTCTATTATGCATACTAAAGTATAAATTACAGTGAACTACACCATTCAGCAAATTAATTTTTGCAGAAGATGAACGATATTATTGATTCATGACTACGTTTTTAGACGATAGCCAGAAACGATGAAGAACAAAATCCATCTAAGATCAAATACTAGTTAGAGCAGACAACTCCAATGGAGAGAAAAAGGATATTCCTTGTGGTTATTTTTTCACTTGTTTGCTGTAATGTTTCTTGCATTTGTTGAAAAATATTTTGCATCTGAAATATTATGAAAAAATAAATTATAAATTTACATAGTTTGACAGTTCAGTTACAGTATGTGGATCAGGGATACCAAAAGACCTATCTCTAGCAATTTCTGTGTGAAGAGACATTTTCAATTCACCTACTAGGAATTAGTTATGGCAACAGTTCTCACTTAAGCAACATAAAACAATCAAAAATTCAAAGTACAATAAACACTTTGGATTTAGAATATTTGATATCTCTGTAATGATTTAGCAAAGATGTATTGATTTATTTGCACTTGTTTGTGATTACTAAGGCAAGATTCCAGTTTTTTTAATTCTTCATCAGTTCTACGAGAAATGGTACGTATTCTTCAATCTAAGCGAGTTCACTATATTAATCTTGGTTTTCGATCGACATCAAACGCACAAACTTTCATACTTTTCATTTGCTTTGTACTGATTGGTTAACATTCTCTGATTGTAAAATTTGAAAGGTAGGTCTAGATCCACAGATGGATATTAATACTTCTATTTCTCATCATGTATTTTGAAATTATTTATGAACTAACCACACCATTGAACAACTCTGCATAAGTGATCAAGTATTATGAGTGATGTCGACATTTTCATAAATAGAAGCTTATGGACTGATCGCGATTGCATTAACTAGATCCAGTCCATCATTTAAATGTTGAAAACACAAAACATATATTCAGTTAAAAATAACGAACGTTAGTGTCATAAGTCCAATTATTTGTAAAATTTCTTACTCACGTACATAGATGTGGTCATTTAACAGGAACGTTTACTCATCATTTCAAATAAACGCATGCGCTAAACAAATGATATCCTATTTCTTACCCAGGTTGATCAAGTGTTCCCTACTAGCGCTTATAAAGTAGTTTATAGTTTCCTGCAGATAGATACACTGAACACAAAGTGTTAGTAATATTCACGTCTAGCAGACTAGGCGTCGCTGTGCAATCCTATGAATTTCTATGATTGGGAATACTATTTTACTAACAACTCATTATCAGAAGCAATGCTGACCCTCCATAGGACTGTGCTGTCTTGTTTGAATATCTGAAGAAATGCACAGGATTCATAGTGACGTTCCTTCCTTCCTCCTACGTAATTGCCGCATGAAAGTCAGAAAACTTTCTGCACAACACACTTTTAAAGGCTATTCATCCTAGCACTCGATATATGTGAACGAAATGACAGCAAATATGTATTTGACTCACTTGGAATTAGCTCCAAGCCAAGCGCTTAACATCCGTTCTAAGCAAACAAACGCATAAGACAAAAGATATCCCATTTCCTATCCAGAATGACACAATCAACAGTGACTCAACGGATCTATGTGAAACATTTAACAAGTTTTCGGAATCTCAAGCATTATCAGAGAGCAGCCTTTTACTTTTGTAAGATGTATTATACTAGGATTACCACATTATCTCCTACATCAAGCACATTTTACTCATGAAAGGTATACCACGAAGGTCATTTATCAGTTACTATATACCTATCATGGACTTGTTAAATTACGGTGAAATTCATTATTAGTTCATTTACCAACGTTTTTTTGAATAATAGGCCTATTCTACGTTATATCTGCATAATTTATCAGAACCTACACAAACTTCACACCGCATCGTAGCCGAATACGCTGAAGATTTAACACAGTGTAGCCATTATTACGGTTTACTAAGGCAAAAAATCGAAATTTCACAAACTAAGGCATCTAACATCCCATCCGTAGCACTGAAATAGTAGCAGTATAAAGCAATTACAAACTCTGTTGCTGAAACTGACAATAAATTAAACCAGTTGGCGAACCCTCTCACATATAGTGCCTGAATAAATTCAAAGGACTCACTTAAGACGAATGAATCTTAATTTATCTGAAGAAGTAACAAAAAGAGTAACGTCTTTCAACCATGCAGCTGGGTACAGTCTTCCTGGCCGCACAGACCTCACTAAGCTAGCGTGTTTACCTTCCATTACGTGGTATGCTAAACGTCAATTACCAAGGTATCTGCTATAGAAAAACCCAGACAACTTGACACGGTTTCTTCTGTTTAAATGTAGATGTTGTAGCGATGCTAAATAATTTGTCAATTCGAGCAAAATATCAGCTCATCGATTCTGTATAAATACGCAAAACGTCACTCCAGACCTAACACCTTTAAACGTCGTGCAAGAGGATGTAGGGCGGTATGATCACATGAATGCATTACGCCAAATAAACCAGAAGCAAATTCTAATACTTCATAGATTATCAAACACAC